TGGAACAAGGTTTACCACCAAATGGAAAAAGTCTTCGTTGCCATCGATTGATTTATAGATTTGCTTTTGCATGACCTTTCCCATCAACTTGTGGCGATTTTGCCCTTAAGGATACACAAAATGTGTTTCTAATAAGTCCCATAGTACATCTATCCACTGTAGGAATCGAGATCCTATGTCCTCGTAACGATTGCGAATTATTATCTATGTGGGGCACCGTATAACTGACTATTTTATACAATAACTGGTAAATTCATACACATATGTGTGTATATATATATAGGGAATGATAGTATTATGTAGGTTGTAAGCTAACAAACGGCGTAAATGGAAAGAATGCTGCAGCCAAAGAATAAAATTGTGAATTAAAATTTATTACATAAATTAAGAACAAACGCCAAATACTAGATTAATACAGTGTCTTTTTGAATCTTGAATATGATGTTGATTAACTTTGATATTCGTAAATTTGCTACGAAATATGTTATCTTATATTTGTCACAAATTTTCAAATTTTTTGTTTGTATGATCATCTGGTTTGGATTTTCTATTAACTTGCTCCAATCTCTTATTTACGAGGATTACATAGTTATGATTGATTATCATCACCATGAAAATCTTATTATCAATTATAGATTCTATAACTACGAAAACTTTTCACTCTTGCTGATTTCTTTTCTTGGTGACTATCCTTATCCATCTTAATTTTCATAGTCGAAAGACTAATCTAGAAACATTGACTCATAATTCACTAAGCTGTAGGTTTTCTTAGTTTAAAGTTAAAAAAACAAAAGCTTCGGACACGTTAACTGCAATTTTAAATCTTTTAGTATAGAAATCCTTTTATTTTCTTTTCGGTTTTTTTTTTTTTTTTTGCACTCAAACTTTGAGTTAGATTTGACGTAATAAAACGTTTGGCTTCCACCATACAAACTCTGAGTAAAATTTCAGCCAAAAAAAAAAAGAATTAGACATATACTTAGGATTCTGATTTTGGATTCTAGGTTTTGAAACGGTTATGACTCATAATACGCGTATACATATATAACAGGAATTAATTAGAGTGAAAATTTAGTGATGACCATATTTTTTATACTGTACGTATAAGCAAGACGAAGCATCTTTATTTAGATGATTCTGATGGACCTACATAGCCGATCTTCTACATGAAAATATGCTTTTGTTGGAGACCTTTTATCCCAGATTTGTAATAAAATGATCTAGTTGACTCATTAAAGGATTATTGAGCTAATTCACTCATTAATATATAGTGATATCGAAGGGACATACATCTCAAAATTCATTTTCTCAACGGACCCATATTATAAATATAAGATGAAATGGAGAAGAACAATGATTTCCCTTAATTCTGGGAAGAATACGTTTCATTGACAAGACTATATCTAAGTTTTTGGTGAAAATTATTGTTTATACTTTGAAAACTAATACTCATATTGGGTTAAGGAAAACATAAACCAAGTGTTCATGGTGATGATGGCCATTCAAATTGTAACTGACGTACATGTTAGCGTAAAATAGTCGAATAATCTATTTATATATATATTGTGAGCAACTAAGCATGTTAAAAATATAACAATCTTAATACTTTACTAATTAAATTTAGTTTTTTTTAGCATTTTATGATTATTCGATATAATAACTCTATTTAAAACCAAAATCATTTTGTTATGATCATCGAGAATAATATATTTAATATTAAAAAATAAACATAATCATTTAAGTTTAAATTGGGTTGGTTCAACTGGGTCGAATTGGATAAAGTTAAATCGATATCATCTAATATATGTACCCTAATTGTGGATCGAGAGTGGCTTTGACCAGAGTACTTTTGATCTTAAATGAGAGATGATATATAATGATAATGATATGCAGGCCGATCTAGTTACTGACTAAAACGTGTTCCTATTACAATATATTGGTATATATGCAGTAATCCTACTATTCGAATGCTATTCTTTGAATGTGATAATTCGTAAAGTAACAAATATTATATAGTTTACATTAGGATTAGGTAAAACATATTGAGATATTTGTTTCGATTTGTAACCTAAATTGATTTTATGCAAGGAGAATCTGGCTAATGTGACTTATTATGGATGGAAACCATGTCAAATTCAATTATACAAACAGCTAGAGCAGAGTGAATTGATACAAAAATCCATACGTATTTTACAGATTTGTTTTAGGTATTAATCTTACTTTAAGAAATTTACTTTTACCATGTTGATGATGTAATTAAGAGAAAATAAAAGCATATTTATTATTTTCCACAGTATGTTCTCCGTTCTCGTACTAATATATATCACTCTAAAAACGATTTTGAATTTTTCAGAAAAAAAGCACAACTGAAGTTTCACTCGGTTAATGATATTTCTTACTTTGGGTCAATGATATATGGGGATGTTCTTTATTTTTATTTTGTCGATATATGTTCACTATACCTGAAGTAATAATATTCTACTTGAAATGTTATATTATTTTAATTTGTTCGAGTATATGTATCGACATGATATACAAATATGAAATATGTATTATATAGCTCGGTTTATTTAACTCTTGAGTTTGAAGAAGTAAATTTGATTCTTTCCGTAGAGAATCCCATTTTATTGGGGGACCAAGTCTCTGACTAAAGTCAATTGCTATAGTGTTTAACATTTAAACAGGTATCATTATAAATAAATAAAATACAAAAAAAAAATACCTCGCAGGGCTTAATTCCTCTGTTTACTCTTAGATACATGCTCCAAGCAACTATACGGACTGTGGAAGAAGAGGAATGCAAGGCGACATGGCGAGCCTTTCTCTCCTCCGATCAAACTGGCGAAACTTCTTGACATAGCAATTCGTAACCGGCTCAGCACCATCAGATTCCAAGAGAACCGAGCATTTGAGGATAGATTCAAGATAGTTTTTTTTTTAATTAAACTCAAACTCAGAAATATTTGATGTAAATCATAATTTGATTGAATATATTTACATTCAATTCAAAAAAAAAAAATACTAAACAAAGAAATTGATACCTTTAAGCATTTAAATTATATTATTTATATCGCTGCAAACACAATAATCCTTACAAATTACATAAACACGATAATGAAAAATAAAAAATTGTAATATGCAATTTAACCAGTACGCTCACTTACAATAATATAACATCCGAGGCTTTAAAGATAGGACCACATACTCTAGTTCCAAAACAATGGATATACGTTTGATTCGAATACATATAGTATAAAACAATTAAAGATAAATGTCGGCTGATGTGTTGAGTATTTTTGGTTTTAGTATGGATCTTTTTTGGTTTTAGAAAAATAGTAATCAGAATGAAATTGATTGTCTGGTTGTTACGATTTTGATTCTGGTTTTGGTTTTAACTTCAACTTTGATCATATAAATGTTTTTCTTTGGTTTGATCAATGTCTCTCATATGTTTAACTTTCATAAAATATAAGTTTCGAATTGTATATATATATATATGTATATATATACCGTATATATTATTTTTTTCAAATTTGGTTAACATTTAATTTAAGTATACCATATATAAAAAAAAAAATTTCAATCCAGTTAAATTTTAATTTGATTTTTATACTCTCGCTGTTGTTTGGTCTGGCTTATTATCTGGACCGGACTAAACACCCATTTAATGTGAACACGATCAAAGCACATCAGTTTTTTTTAGGTTAATAGTGTTGATTAAATACATGATTAATTAGGTGATAAAGTAGATTTGAATGCTGCTCACATGGGTATGCGTGAAATACTGCTTTTTACCATCTTTTTGTCTCTCCTACATTTCGAGCTAAAAAGCTATGTCCTTTTTTTTATTAAAGAAAACAAATTCTGAACATTGTTCTTTTGCCGTTAAGAATGTTGCACGAGGTGTTATTTTATTGTTTATTTGTAAGCTTCCCAGTTCCCACTACGAATTTTTAAGCAGGACACCGCCGTGTATATATCTTAATTTGGAAGAATATATAACTCTTTAAAGATTCTTATAAAAGTTATATATTTCGACTTTTTTGGGCAGGATGATAACCCAACCTCTCAAATGAGAAACGATCATGAATTAGATATGATCGGTTTTAATGCCGATTCTTCCACAGGATCCGTATAAAAATCGTCGAGGGCCGATCAATGGCTTACCTCTTTGGACAACCTGGTGATCAATTGCATGAATTTGTTGCAAAATCATCCAAACAAATCTAACATATATTTGGTAAATTTTGAAGACAACAAAGATGTTCCAACATAAATCAAATTTCCACTCGCGCAAATAATTTAGCGAAGAGAAATGATTCTAGATGATTGGTAATTAAACAAAATGTGCTTTAAGTATGCTGTATGCTACAAGTTAACATACTTTTTTAAAAAAAAAATTCTGATCTAGCATCTTAAAGATAATATTAAGAATTAGAAATGTACTAAGATAAATAAAAGTATCGTAATAAAAAACCATACATTATACAACACCCGTTACCTTTTACTGTTGCAGTTGTTAAATCAGAAATATTTTTTTGCTAAATTTATTCAATTTTGAAATAAAGTATTAGATAGAAAGATAAAAGTATATCGTCTAGACAAAAAACATTTCTAAATGTTACTAAAAAATATAAAAAGATTTAAATATTATTTATAACGTTTAGTTATTTAGTTTCAACCCAATTATCCTTTTTTGACATTTCAGCCCAATTGTATCTAATTTTACTTCAAGTATGCTAAATGCAATAAACTTTTAACCCCAAAAAAAAAATGCTAAATGAAAATAATGACAGGTGAGAAGCTGACCTGAAAACGAGAGGCAATTCTTTCATAACTAAAAGATTCCTTCTATTATAGTCAGTCAAAAGAAGTCAACTGGTTAAGTCAGTTGACCGATGATGACGATTAATGACGTCAGCATCAGCTTCTGTCTTCTCCTTCCTCTGTTTAAATAGAAACCAGATCACTTCCACTTTCACTCACTCATCACACACACACAAAGATACATAAACACAACCAAAAAACGCCCGCCATGTGTGGATACGTCAGCACCTCCATAGCCTCCGGCGATTCGTGTCCATGTCTCCTATACTCCGACGACATAGTGGCTTCTCCTCTGCAGCCGCATGATGATCACCAACCTCAGTTCCTGCCTCCGCCGCCTCTTATGATGAGCCACCACTCGCTTTTCGTGGCAGAGACGGTTTCAGGGTTTGGTTACTTTGATTCCGGCATGAATGGCGGTGGAAGCAGCGGCTGCGACTCGCCGAGCTCGATGGGGAGCGGTGGAGATAGTCTTATTATGCAGAGGAGTGCGAGTAGCCATAATGGCTTTTTCGGTAATTTCGCGACGACGGCCCACGATTTCGTTAATGATCATGATGGGCCAGTGAGAAGGGCCCTTAGCGCCGGAGATCTACCCGTAAGTAATACTATATACTACACACTTGCATGACATATATTGATTCAAACCTATTACTCATTTACTCATGTTATGTAACTTATGTTTGGTAGAAAGACTGAGATTTTAAACGACTCCGTTTTGGTATGTGTGTAGAGGAGTAGCAGAAGAGAGACCAGTGCGGTGTGGAGTGAAAGCAATGCAATAATAGAAGGAATGAGCAAAGCCTATAAGTATAGTCCTGAGGAGAAGAAAGAGAAAATCGAAAAATATCGTAGCAAACGAAACCTTAGGAACTTCAACAAGAGGATTAAGGTAATTTTTTTTCATTTTTACATTTGTTTCTGTGTTTGCTTTAACATGTGTTGTGTGTTTAATTTTCATATGCATTTGAAGAATTTTATTCGCATATAGGAAGAGAAGTTATTGTAGCATATGTTTGGGTTATATGAACGAATTTATCTTTTAATTCATATTGTTCTTCAGCACATAAAGTTGCATGAACAACTTCCTATATATGTATATATATATAACTATATATTCAATATGTATATGTGTCACATGGAAACTTTTTAAGACTTGACATGTAGTTGTATTAAACAGTGACATGCACCTGCACATTTATTGATGCCAATCCTTTTATTTTCTAACCGATCATATATTTTCCTCTAATATTTTCCATTAATCAAGTAATCAACTAATATTGAATTCTATATATCTTAAATACAAGCATTCAGCTTCAGCCATCCGCCTTTTTCCGAATTTATTAGATAAAATTAATTTTCTAAGACACGAATTCACATTTACTACAAAATTAAATGGTTCGTTGACCAAAAAAGGGCTCAATATATCATATCAAGCATTCTTATCACTTCAAAAGTACACTGAGTTATATGAGTATGTGAATGAGAATTAACGTTATGTCACATCATATTTGGTCTTAAGGAATCGTTTGAGATAGACACATCAAACTCCACGGTTGCCAATTCTCCATTAATTATTTTTTATAATGAGAAGGTCCACGTATATCATAAACATTTCCCGGGTTACTTCATCGTGGAAGTTATTAATGTTGGAGATTTATTTCTAACTAGTGATTAAGAGTATTCATATGCGAGTGATTAAGAGTAACCGTTTCTCATATTCAATTAGATGTTTTCTGCAAAATGCTATAATTGTATGAACGATAGGCTATAACTAGTTACATGACTTACATCGAAACTTAATAAACGATGATGTAAATGCCACATTGATTTTGAGGCGGAATTAACAGATATATATTTTTCAAAATTAGTATGAATGCAGGAAGACCTTAGCGGACAGTAGGCCAAGAATAAGAGGAAGATTTGCAAGAAATGATGAGATGTCACAACAAGAACAAGTTGATGTTATTGAAGCCGTCGTTGGAGATGTTGACACGTGGGCATCGTTTCTGGACTCTTTCTCTGCTAATCACTTCCTTAATTAATCTCTTGTAATTATATTTATGTTTTTTTCTTTTCTTATACTTATATGTTTACATATGGCACTTTTAATTTGTTTTGGTTTAAAAGATTGCTCCATGTTGCTAAACTCATGTAGGTTTTTTTTGTAAATAAGAATAAAATATTTTGTATTTTGTTCGGAGATCTTGCTAAATTCTTGATCTTCACTGGCCTGAAAAAATTGGACGAGTGGTATATAAACACTTTGTCAATCTTATAGGCATGGCAAGGAGTTCGACCCTAAGTTCTCCAATTGGGTGGGATGCCTTTTGACAGAAAAAAAAAGTTCTCCAATTGGGATATTAATATATAGGTTAAGGCAAAACAAAACGATATTTATATACCGAATAAAATAAATAAATATACAACCTTTTTAAAATGTCTCTTTAATATTTGTTTCTCTGTTTCATTAAAAAATCGTTTTATTCAGTAATATATATCAAAATTTTGGAGACGACACATATATTAAAACACATATAATATAAACAACATAAAATTTAGAACGAGCATGTGGTTCTTAATCCTTCAAACTCTGATTATATGACATTTTCTGATTTGTATAAAAAATGTGTAGTACTTATGCACTAATTTAAGTATAATTCATGTGATAAAAAAAAAGAGAGGATTTCCAAAACAAAATTGCAGAAAGAATATTAAAATTCAGAGTTTGTAGTGGTGTAATTGTGTTGTTTGTATTATTGTCGCTTTTATATATATCCCACATTTAAATTTAAAAGTCGACATATGTGAGTTGTAGATGATTAAAAAAATCCTTTTTTTTTTCTTGCCAACTAAAGTCTAAAACATATTCTTCGTTTCGTATCATTATTACTTATATGGGACCGTAAATAGTTAATGGATAGTTTATTATGTTCCTTAATGGTTCGAATTTTCTTTTACCAACTTGATTACAAAAATAATCAGAAAGTACAAAGATGATAACTTTTAGCATTGAAAAACATGTAATGAACATGGTCATGTTACTTTGATGATTTCATTACTCTCACGTTGATTACTCATCGTGCTACTAAGTACTAGCTAGCAATCTCCGAAAGCAATCATGCATTATACCTTATAAATTTTTGAGAAACCAAAGAAGGTTCCACTGAAATAAAGTAAATGAAAGTAATCAACCAAATTCGTCGACTAAATAAAAATAATAATTGTATTTGTTCAAATGAACCATGATTAGGAGTGTGTAATATGAATAAACTAAAACGATTACCATAAACTTGATTGTCCAAAACAAAAAAAAAACTACCATAAACTTGACCTAATCGAAAATCAAATTGAATTTTGATACAGGATACACATTTTTTTTTAATAGAACCCCAACCAAAAAAGAAAAAAATATCTGAAAAATAAAAATACCGCTGATACTAGGTTGATTTGTTTTGAAAAATAAGGATATACTGTATGTGATTAAAGCTCCGCAGTCCGCACCCATTCTGTAACTAAACCGATCTATTACTACATCGGTTTAACTTGTTAATATTTTTCTTAAACCAAAAAACTCTTAACCGAAATCCGAAACTGAATACCCCACGTCTACGAAGTATAAATATCATCAATTTAAGGCATCAATAGTGATACAAAAAGAAACGATATTTGTCCTCGAAAATATCATGTGAAAAATCTGTCCTTTTGTTTTGTCGACATGTAAAGATCTTTCTTTAAAATAATAATAATAGACTAGAAGTATTAATTAGTACTTTCGGATAGAAAAACAGAGGAATGATAGTGCTAGACTATTAGTAATAACGTGAAGAATAATGCTTCTTGATTTAGTTTAAGCAAAGTAGTTTTGAAAAAGGAAAGAGAGCAGTCTTTCTTCTTTAGCAAAGGCTATAGAAGGAGATGTAGGCCCTCCGGCGACCATGTCCCCGACATTTGTCGGCCGGCGGTAGATTTACCGACTCTCCACATGTTTTCACTTTTTTTTTCTTTTCCTTTTTATTATTTTAATTAAAAGACATTTTCTGCCGTAAAAAAATAATTAAAAGACATTTTCTTGAACACGAGTACACGAAGAAACTTTAGAAAATAAATTAGAAATTTTCTTTTCCCCCACTTTTTTTAAGATGGGCAATAAAATCACGAGACTTTCGTGTGTTTAAACTAATGCACAAAACTTATCTAGCCTCTAAGAATCATCAAGCTCTTCTATGTTTCCCTCTTTTACTGATTCGTTTAAATAGATATTGAAGTAGAAAAGGCTTGTATAGCCGTAGTTGCGCTAAACGAACTCTACTCTTCTTAGCTCGTGCCTTACCTGCATTGTTCACCAATGGATTGACATAACATAAGAGTCCAAAACTTGCGTGCGCGTAATGTTAAGGTTTCCAAATGATAAAATTTAGATCTCATACCTGAGTTTGTGGCATTGTTTCTTTCAGAGTACTGGACATGAGCTTGATGTTTACTTTCGATTTCTGCCTCGCTTTCCTTCTTGTCTTCCGTTGCTATCTCAAAGGTGTTGTGGTGTTGAACCGATAGCTCTTCCCCAAGCTCTTCTGCCTTATTGGACTCTAACCTTGATACTTGGTCATGTTCTTGCTCAACCACCTCGGTACTGAGAGAGTTACCTGATTCTCTTAGCAAATCGGTAGTCTCAGAGGATAATTTATGAAGATTAATACTACTGTCACCTGTTTCATGCTTCTGGTCTTCCATTGTCACCTCCATGTACCCGTCGTGTTTTGCTTCCGAAGAATCATCAATTTTCATCCCATTATCAGCACCTTCAATGGATGCACAGTGCTCAATATTAGCATGACCAGAAATAGCTCCTTTGCTATCTCTGTCCACGGAGACTTCTTCATCATCAACAACAATAGTTTCAATAGAACTTTGTGGAATCCCGGAAACTTCATCATCAACAACAATAGATTCACTGTTTAAGTTTTCAACAGAACTTTGTGGGACCCCGTGACCGCTTTTTGATGGTGACATTGATTTATCTTCTGAAACCAACTCAGTCTGCATGTTAACATCAGGAGCTGCATTTGACTTTGTACATCTTACCAGTGTAAAGGATGCGGCTGCTTGATTTTGTACCAAAAGCCCCTGTCCCTGGGTGGTACTGCATTTCCTCAGGGGAGTAATTGTTCTAGGTTCCACTTTGTTGTCATCTTCAGATATCAGCATCTTAATTTGGCTAGTGGTTTCAATTTTCCGAAGATTATCCTCACATGAAGCTGAATCAGCCATACATACTTCAGGAACTTGTTTATTACTGTGCACTAGTGCGTCACTCATCTTAGCTGCAGGTGGCTGAGTCAAAGGTTCAGTTCCTACAATATCCTTAACCCGGAAACCATGTGATGGCAAGCCATTAACAACAGAGGTGAAATCAATCGCCTTGGAGGATTTGTGCGCCACAGCACGTGTGGCATCAAAAGCCTTTGCGAGATCAGCCAAAAGCATGTCACCTTCACCACTTGAGAGGGGATCCCATTTCATGCAATCTCCAGACAGAGGCTGTTCGAGGCTAAAGGTTTCACTAGACGACAGTAACTCAACCTTGACAGCTTCTTTGTGAAACCGCTTTTTCTTCAAAACCTTGGCTATCATATTCCTGAAGGCAAACCACATGTTCATACTCAATGACATAAAATTTTAAGCCCTTGTGCATCAGATAACACAATTGCTAGAAGAACTGAATACCTACCTACAGTTTTTTGAAATGGCAGCTTTAGCTCTTTCCGTAGAGAGTCCAAGCAATGACATGAGATTTATAACATCGTTTGGACCTCTAAGTTCTGTGACTGAAGGAAGGACTGAAGAAGCACCTTTAACTTCTGTGACTGAAGGAGCACCACTCGAGATAATCAGATTCTTCCCCTTAGTCCAATCCACCAGTAACTAGTCATGCCATATCACAAGAAAGTGTAAGCATATCAATAGAAAACTCTCACATAATCAACTCAACCACACAAAAAATTTCCACAGAAAGAGTAACACAAAATCATCCCTCACATTACAAATATACAATGTGATAATTGTGGCTTGATGCATCAAAGTTTCTCACCTTAGCATTCGATATAACTTGTCTCCTCTTCTGTGCATCCTTTAAGAGATCAGAGTACATGATCTCAAAGTATATCCCTCGCTGCCGATAAGAAAATTCATCAAGTTGAAGCAAGGAAAAACAATTAGATACACACAGATTCTACTATTAGGAAACAATGTCTAATCTTAGATTGCGAGAATCACAAACCTTAATAGCAGCTTTGACAATGGGATGCATTAATCGGAAAGACATCTTTGAGAAATCAATGGAAATAATATCAACCTACAAGCGGGTTTGAGGAAAACAAACAAGATAAAAGGAGTTATTTTCCAGCTCAAACTAGAAAATCTTCAATTGAGCTTCAAATACTGATTAATTCCACACAAAAATCTCAATCAAAGAGACAGAAATTCAAACCTCGGCACTCTTACAGGCATGATCGAACGTGTACTGATTCATCGGCCTAACTGCAACAATATCATAGCTCTTTAGAACCTGATTCCCAGAATTCAAACCCTGACACTGTGCATTATTCTCCACATTGACCGTGACGCGAGTGTACTGACGAAACGGAGTAGCTCGCGGGACGCCGAGCAAATCGCGATGGAATCCGACAGAAGAAGCTAATCGAGGAGCGGCCTTGACGAGAGAGCCAAGCGTGAGAAGAGGGATCGTACAGCTGTCCTTGTTCGACATCGCGCCTTCGATCGAACGGTTATGTGCGATCCCAACATAGCCCAGTTCCATGGCTTTCATGGCGAGCTTCACGCGCAATTTTTCTCCGACGACGACTTCCTTCCCGCCTGATGATGGCGGGTAACTGTACGGAATGCTTAAGTCGAAGAACCCCATTGCGAGCTTGACGCGCAATTTTTCTCAGAGATATACGGCGGAGAGATTTTCCGATAGGGTTTAAGCAATGGATTATTATTAGTCAAAAACTAACTACGACAGTTCGACGTGTCGACAATTTGTGAAACGGCTGCGTATAGGGAAATCCGAACCAAAAAAATCAATAATTAGAAAAATATACATATTGTTAAAGCGCATATTATCTAAAGCCGCGCACGAAAATCCCGAAGCTGAACTGAAGAAAACACTTGGTTATCACGCGGATCACTCTTTAAAGCCGTCGATTAAAAAGCATCGACGGCTCTTACGCCATCTCAATTTTGACAAGGATTGGGATCAAGAGCCGTTGGATTAAATATTAGATCTGATGGTTCAAAAGAAAACCCCTCTTGTATATAACCAACCGCGGTCCAATCATTTCCTCAGAAAACAATCAATTCTCTCATTTCATAGCAGCGAAAAAGCTAATTTTCTCGAGAAAACAAAAGTCATGTCGGGTCGTGGAAAGGGAGGAAAGGGTTTGGGAAAAGGAGGAGCGAAGCGTCACAGGAAGGTTCTAAGAGACAACATCCAAGGAATCACCAAGCCGGCGATTCGGAGGCTGGCTCGTAGAGGTGGAGTCAAGCGTATCAGTGGTCTGATCTACGAGGAGACACGTGGCGTCCTCAAGATCTTTTTGGAGAACGTTATCCGTGACGCCGTCACATACACCGAGCACGCCAGGAGGAAGACGGTGACTGCCATGGACGTCGTTTACGCGCTCAAGAGGCAAGGCAGGACTCTCTATGGTTTCGGCGGTTGAGGATTTTCTTAGATTGAGGTCGTGTAGATCTGTTTTTACTTTGCAATTTCCTCTGTAAGCTAGGGTTTCAAGAACAGAAATGGGGTATTTTAGTAAATGTAGTTGGAATCGATTTCCTTTTAGCTAATGCCTTTGTATTTCTTTTCGGTTTCTGTGAGGTTTCAACAATGCATTGGTAATTTCGTAAAATTTCTGTTGATTATCCTCAAATTTACAATTCTGAAGATCACTGCGCTTTGAACTGAGAATGTGACAATTTTTGCGAGATGTACACTTGTGAACCGTCAATCTTGCTTTTGCGACCTGTAATCGACGGTTTTTGCAGCAAAAATTTTGCTCCCACTAATGCTTATGCGGCTTAGGCTTACGGCTTACCATTTCGTTAGTTTGAGCGATCATTTAATTTGCATCAAGTCCAGATTATGAGCCCAATAAAATTCACTGGCCCATAAAGAACAATGTGCAGGTCGGATCAGAACAAGACTTCAGGTCAAAACTTTACATGTTTAGCTTTACAAACTTACTCATTGCCGCGTAAACTTTACTTTCCCTCTCGTTTTTTTTAGTTGGGATGATAAATATTTTACACATCCGCTTTTTTGCCGGGAGTGATAATGGAACTTGATCTATGAATAAAAAAGAAAAAAATTTGAAAGGTGATATGGTTTATATTGTCGTAGTGCATAACAAATTTTAAGAAGCTACAAAACGACATTAATCAAACTCATCCGAATAACCCATAGTGACGACGTAATTTTAATTCAGGAGAAAATACAGATAAATGTGTTTTACCATTTAAAAAGAAAACAAATTAATTAACCAGGGGCGTGAGGAGGTTACACGTGTTTATCAGGGTGACACGTCATCTATCGGGACCGGAGTTTAACGACGTCGTTTGAATACTTTCTTTATTGATGGATAAACAATATCCTTTCTATCGAGTTCACAGTGGAAGAAATAAAAAAAGCAACTACTGTTTTCAGAAATTGCTTCACGCCTCATCACGCCTTAAATTTAAATTCAGACCCCAATGATTGATTGATTTTTTGAATAAACTAAACGAAGACTCAATCATAATCGATCTCCTTGTCTCGATTGATCGAAGAGGTAAATTTCTTGGATCATTGTTTCTGGAATGGAGAAAGTTTCATCGCCGTCTTCTTCACGGAGGTCTGCTTATCTGGAAGCTCTTACGCAAGAGATAAAGAAGAAGCTTACACGGGTTAGCTCTCTTTCTTTTCCGCTAGAGATCGCGGTTTTCCAATTGTATTGATCTGTTTTTAATTTACCTTCTTCGAAATCGCTGGCTAGATCTTCGCATATGAAACATGCATTAGAGATTCTCACAGATTTTTGATTGATGATTGCGATTGAAGAAACCGGGTTTCAGAAAATTGGTTTAGTGTTTCAATGTGAATCTGCGGGTTGCGATTCTAGATATAAGTTCATGCAATCCGATAATTGATATCCATTATCGTCATGCAATTCAATTTTTTTTTTGTTCCTTTGATTGCTAGTTTTCAGTTACTCACGCCTGGATTTCTGGATTTGTTCATCTCGAATCGAGAATATAAATTTGGTTTTTGACTGTTAATCTTTTCTCCCAGGCTGTTGTCTCTCCAGCACAAACACGCAACTTGCTTCAGGACTTATTTGCTGATATAGCTCTCGAGGTCGACGAACGAGCCAAAGGTAACACTCTAGAAATGTGGTGAATTGTATCATGAATCAGTCTGCTTTCAGTGTTCTCGTTTCCTTTAGAGATAATGAGGTGAACAATGACCAGTAATTTACAATGGGAACTAACTCTTGAGCTGGAATTTTAAGCAGATGTGATCCTTAGCAAAGAAGAGGATGTAATTTCTGATAAAGCAGATGCTGATGGTCCATTATGTTTTTTCGACGTCCTTGCTGATTATTATGTGAACGTGTCTGAGAGAGGGAAGGATATACTTGACTTGATGGTGCAGCTGTGGAGCCAGTCGTTTGCATCACACATATTCTCTCTTCTGTTCCATAAATGGGTACTTTTTACCTTTACCATTTCGCTTCAGTGTTATTTTCAGTTCCAGAGTTTACTCTATGAAATTTGTATAGTACTCCGTTATTTTATCTACCGTGTTAATAATGTTAACATTTTTCTGTAATTCTTCTCAGCTGTTTGAGGTTCAGCTTGACAATCAAGAAATACTCTTGCGGTATTCTTCTGCCCTGGTGCAGGGAGCAACTAATGTATTCTGGTAAAGTCTTTGATCTTTGGCATCGTAAGATGTTAATCTTCACTCGATATGAATCGCTTGGTTCAATGTGTATACCTCGTTAGGTTCAGTCATGTACTTGTATCTGTAGTAGTTGCATTTGTCTATTATCTTTCCAAGTCTCTTCCTACATTCGATTGGCTCGCCAAGCATTGTGACAATCTCTACCCATTTTAATTACAGGATAGACATCCAGACAAATACAAGACGGTTCCAAACTCTCTTTCGGGTACCTTTTTTTCCTCTGATATATACATATATAGGGAACTTTGATTTATGAACCAAGTGACTATGATACTTAAAGTAGGGCATTTCGAACACTGGTCTTCGTGCTAGAAATGTAAATAACACATGCTAGAGATCATTCACATCCTCTTTCTATTATGTTACCTTGTTTGATGCCTCTGATAGATCTTTTAGGCAAAATATATTTCTTTGTACTTTTCGATCGGGTTGTCACTACCACACGCTCAAGTCGTCATGCCAATTTGCTACTGTAACTAACAGTCTCCGTGTTCTCTTAGTATCTTCTTGAGGAAGTTGCTTTGGAGCCTATCAGATTGAAAAAAATTCCTATTCAGGTAAGTGGTTCCTCTCTTTATTCATGACGGTTTAACTGATTTCAGTTTGGAGATTGACTCTCCCGTACTTAATTTCAGGCTCAGAGGGAACTGTATCTCTTGCTCTCAAGGTTCATTTTCTTTTACAATTCAGGTAGTATACTGTTTTCTAAAAACTTTTTGTTGGAACCAAAGCGTTTCTTCTTGTACCCTGACAGTTTTTTTTCTTTTTTCTAGTGGATAAACTCGACAGCTTCTTGAGGAATTTCCCAGAGTTTCCAAATGCTTTCTTGGTTGGAGGACCAGGAGATTTCCTTGTTATTGAACTTACTGATCAGGTATGAAGCATAGGCTTTGTGACTATATACAAAAATTTCTCTCAAGAATGAACCACATATCACTCATTTAATATGTTATTTGTGGTGCAGCTGCAAAAGCTGAAAGTTGAACCAGTGCTGCTACACTATCTTTCCCAGATGAAGATTCTTCAAGGTACCTTTCTCTCTTCTAGTTAGATGCTGCCTCTAACATGGAGTCAAAACTTAAAGCAATTTTGGATAACATCTGCAGGTATGGAACTGAGAATGACCACTAGCACGAGGTTAAAGGCATGTTTGTACAGTTTTACCTCTCCCGGAGGCCCAATGTACCCAACAAGAGCTGTTCGTCATGCAGCCTGGGATGCTTTGGATTCCCTCTTTCCGGTGAGTATTCCCTCTTTAAACCCACTGTTTTCATTGGAAGATCCAGCGTAGGAGTGCTTGTTCAAAGAAATATCATCTAATAGTTTAGGCCACCTCATAAAAATGTAAAAGCACCCGAAGCTAAGCAAAACAATCCCAAAAAAATTGCACATTCGATGTGCCAACTGTTGCAGTTAGATCACAAATATATATATAGGCTTGGCCTGTAACAATTTGATACTCTTGTCTTGCAGGTCGGGCGTTACCCGAGGCATCTCATTAGTCTATTTTTCAGGCTGCTATATCCGTGGTACTGGCCATCCTCGTGCTGGAACTTTGTGGTTTCTTGTATTAAAGCGGTACTATATTCTCTCGTAAGGCTCATCTTTTCACAGCGAGAAAAGCCAAGGCAGAGCTAAATAGCTTTTATGATGAAGCCTGCAGCAGGAATCCAATCCTTGTGTATATAATGTGTCTTTGGTCATTAGAGGCAAACCAGAGAACTTTACCTTCACCTGTATTGCTTTCTATGGAGAACATAATCCGTTTTGAGAGAGATCCCATAGAATAGCTTTTGACGTGTTCTGTTGTCATTGTTAAATTGTTATTTTGCTATAGAGGATGATGTATTCTGACCAAAACGCCTTTTTTATGTTGAAGGAATGAACATGTCTTCCTTCTGTTTTTAATTGTATTGGATGTGTAATAACCCACTAAAAAATTCACCATCCATCCATGGATGTACCAATTTGACATAGATGAAACAAAAGTGAGAAAGAAAAACTTAAGAAGTTCAACTTAAGACTCGATTAACATACAACGTTGAAGACTGGGTTCTGAAAATCCTCACGGGGAGCAACACTATTCAACAATTTTGTTCCAATGGCTATAAAGCCAAAAAAAAACTCGGTTTCTTTGTCCACCCAAATCAATCAAAACTCTTCGTTAATAATAAAAGTAAAGGGCATGACTTGAATAACTTTTTCCCATAAGAGATAAAATACAACTAAACGATCATAAACGGAGTCTTGTAACCAAACCTAACTAAATGATCCTTCCTCTGCCTTTTACTCGAGGGTATTAAGCTAGAGAACAATTCCAAGCTTTAAACGTAAGATCCGCAGAATCTAAAGAGTCATTCTAATGAAACAAATAAACAACACACGGCCATGAGGCTAAGTGACAAAGCCTCTGGCAAAAGTTTTCTATAGCTTCTCTGCATCTTGCGGTTCGAGAAGAGCAGTCACATTCCTCAGTTGGTCTCCATATCTCCCGCGTGGTACTTATCAAGATCTGCATCAAGATCCTCAGCAGATATCTTCTCTGCAGGTCCCTTACCAGGACGCCCTCCACGACCACCACCTCGGCCACCCCCACGACCTCCACCACGACCACCACTACGCTGTTGACCACCTCTCCCTTGACCTCCTCTGTTAAACCAGCAAGATATACACTTTCAATATACTTAACAAGATTGTATGTATAAATACATAGTGACCAGTGCATAATCTTACCGTCTTGAACCATTAAAGTTTGAATTTCCGGGTCTAGCAGTTTGAAGATTGCCCCCCAAAATCTCTATCTTCATTGGTTTTCCATCCAGCTGAACATCGTTGTACTTCTTCACAGCTGCGAGTGCATCGCCACGCCGAGTGAACACTACTTCAGCAGTTCCCTAATGGTATAAGTAGCTTACAAGATTTAGTCTTCAGGACTCAAATAGGTCAAAGATGTGCAAAGTTGAACAACAAAGGTGTACCTTTGATCTTCCACTCCTGTCAAAATGGACTGTGTAGCGTTTAAGCTCGCCGACTTCAGCAAACAGTTCCTGCATGAAACGAACCGATTCAATATCATTTGAAATATGTTCCCAAATGCACAGAAAGCAAAAAGCTAACGAACAATCGGAATAGATAATGCAAGAAACGGTACATGGAACATAAGAGTAAAAGTTTTGATTGCACTTTGAAGACAGATAAAAGTTTTGATTGCACTTTGAAGACAGATACGATCCTATATTCCAAAAACCCTAAACATGTGATTGCTAATGAGGCAGAGAATCGAAAGAGATGAGAAAAGAAGGAATTTGTCACCTTGATGTCTTCGTTCATGACCCCGTAATCCAAATTGGATATGTAGAGCTTCGTTCCAGTTTCGATTCCAGCGGAAGAACGGCTGGATCGGGGAGGGAAAGCTTCTGACCTATCGGAGTACATGTCGTGTTCCCAGGTGGACTCCGGCGCCTATACAACCAAATGAATCCGTTGTTTGATTTTTTGTTTTTTCCTCTTTGAGAGATTCATCAACACCAAAATCGATTGCTTGTTTTTTTTTTAATATAAAGAAAACGTCAACGAAGAGTCTAATTTCCATTATGAATCGGCAGATCTGAGAAGAAAGACCCGGCGAAACTAGAGAGAAGAAGAAGAAGAAGAAGAGAGAGCAGATGTAGATCGGATTTGGACCTTGGCCGATTGGTATGGAGCAGATCGGTTGGATTTCCGATTAGCGTTGTTGCGGCGAGTTGGACCCGGCCCGGATCCGGATCCAGATCCACGGGCGGGGCCTGATCCACGGGACTTACGGTTCTTGGCGATCATGTCGTCGAGAGACATATCTAATCCAGTCGCCATCTCGGAAGTTCTTCGATCGAAGTTTCCCTTTTGAACGGCGGAGGAGATAGAGAGAAAGGGACGACGAGAAAGAAGGATAAAAAGTCCAGCGAAAGTCTGAAATATTAGCCGACAAGGTAAAAGGGTTTAAATATTAAAATAAATGTTGTTTTTTGTATTTTATTATAGACGGTGATAAAGTGACAAAAAGGTTTCGTGGTGTAGTTGGTTATCACGTCAGTCTAACACACTGAAGGTCTCCGGTTCGAACCCGGGCGAAGCCAATTTGCAGTAAATATTTTATTTTTGTTTTGGTTTTTCTCTCCACGGCTTTGAATTACCTTCCGTGTCGTTTATTGAGATAACTTCCAACGAAATCAGAACTATGCTTCCGTTTTGATTAAACTCTTCTATAAAAAAATTCTTGAGGATATTAATTAGTTTGCTGAGATAGAATTTCGAAGCAACATTTTGGAAATAATGTCAATTAGTTTTTATGATCCAGACGAGCCAAACAAAAGTCTAGTCATGTTACAAAACAAAGTGATAATGTTCTAACAAAATAAACGTCAAATTAAATAGGAACACGAATCAAGCGATACAATAATTAAAAGCCTCTCATCACCCTTAAATTTAAGATCAAACTCATATACTCAAGCAATAGTCGATAAACACTACCAAGAAAATACAGAATATTGGAAGGAATTGGCTATGTTCTCTTGTAATTAAACATGAACGGGAACAGATGTATCCATTGTCTTCTTTTTGCTCCTTTAGGATGATAGAGAACTTGCAACGAGAATGACATATGATGCATAACGGCCGAGTGTTGTGATTGTTAGGAACCACCTTAATATTTGTCAAAAGCCAACGAGCCACCTTAATTACTGAGCTCTGTTCATAACTAATAAGTGGGAAGATAGTGATCATGCTCTCATATAATAATGAATTCGCTTGTGCTCTAATATTTTGCTTATAAATAGACAGTGGAAGAGCATAATGCTGAAGGCTACGTGTGATCTGCCTTCCTAGTGAAGTGGGAAGTCTTATTGCTGAAGAAACAAATGGGTTTGTGTTCTATTCATCTTATACGGTTCAATTTGTCAACCACAAAAGGAAATATATTTTCAAAAGCAATCACAAACCATTCTTAAACGTGATCCAAGTCAAAGAGAGTTATTAACATAGATACTCCTCTATTGTCTCCTTCCAAGATCGCCATACCAACTACTTAATTAACATACGAAATGTTATATCATCCCAAAAAAAACACCTACTACCAACGCATATAATGGTACTAAGCTATATACAGAACATTGCATACAAAGAAACTTATAAAAGACATTCATTAGACTTACTGCAAAACTCCAAATAGGTTCTTGAGGTTCTCCTTCTTGCTGCTCCTTAATTCTTATAATCGATTCCCAAAAACCAAAAGCTTCAATTTTCAGACTCGGTTGGTTCTAGGACGTGGACATAGAGCTTTGTGATGAGTAAGACTCCCACAAGCTTGACAAAACATCTTCAGCTTCTCATAAACAAACCTAACTTCAACAGGCTCAGCATATCTCCCAAAAATGACACGCCTCACAAAATCCAGATCTTTACTAACAACATCGATTCGAATCCGTGCTCTCACGACAGGCCCTTGGTTATCGATCTCCAAAACTTGACCTAAAAGAGAACCAATCTCTTTGATCACCTCAGAGTGTCTGTAATCCCAAGGGATTCCAAACATGTCGACCCAGAAACTGACGAACCGCAAGAAATCAGGGTTTTCCCGCTCGGTAAACCTATCGATCACCAGCATCCAGTCCTTGAACGTCCATGGCCCTTGATCAAGCACCCAGAGAAGGTCCGATTCTGATTCGAATATGAACTTTACCTCGGAGTTATAGACCAGTGTCATGCTTCTCACCGAGCCGGTAAATCGCCAAGCCTTTGGGAGTGCGACGCTAATCTCACGCGATTTCTGGATTTTGGGATTAAGCAGCTTGACGATGAGGCTACGCTGGTTTTCCTCATTAATCGCTTGCAAAACCTCCGGCGGAAACACGAATACGTCATCATCATCATCAGCTCCAGGTTCCATTGCGTGGTTATCCATTGAGAGACAAGTGTGTGAGATTAGAAACCAGATCGGAACAAAGGATCGATCACCAGAGAGAGATTTTCAGTAGAAAGAGTTATAGACGGGATCCATCCAAATTTAGGGTACACGATGAATAGTAAAATCTTTGTTAGAAATGGGCCGATAAGTTTACACATCTGGCTTTATTATCAATGGGCTTATGTTTTTGTTATCACTTATCAGGCACTGTTGAGTGATTAGTGAGGTGAAGCAGCCTGGAGTGTTAAGAGAGACTGAAGAAAATGATGAAGAGAGAACTTGTCTTTGGTTGGATGTTTCACATCTCTTAAGTCAGATGATCATATCAGCTGCAGTGTTTCACACCACAGACTAATTAAAACTTCTAAGTTTTAAGCAAGTAACGAGCACATTATGTCATGTAATATCATATACGGATCAATGATGACAATGAGAAACTTTCCCCGCTCACTCGTGAACATGTTGAAAAGAAGAAAGGCTACTCACTGAGCTTCAATATGGTTTTTTGTATCAAAAATGGGTATTGTATTGGCTTCAAAGTTCAAATTATCTGTTCTACTCGTGTTGCATCAAACAACAGTTAAAAGTTGCAATTTCTAATTCCACAATAAGCACACATCAAAGTCAAAAACATGTTGAATCATCGATGAAACATAAAAAAAAGAATATGACACACGGAACAAACGCGAGAAACCAGTACAAGCATTTCATTTTTCTAACAAGAAGATAAAAAGTTTTTAACAGATAAACAAAAGGCCTTCTCACCTAACCTAACAAATCTCCGAATAAAACACACAGAACAGAGCCAACAATAGACTTGAATTCGACTAAAGAATCCCAAGATTAAGACTAATAGTACAAGGCACAAGCGGAGTTCAGTCAAGAATCATTAGGAAATCGTAACAAGAATAGAAGTTTGATAATCTCTTAAATCAAACACCACTGAAAATTTGTGTAGCTTAGCCAATTGCAAATCTATAGTCATCAACGCCAATCAAATCAAAATGTTCAGCAGAGAAAGGGTTCGATGAACAGACAAATCCAATCGTAGCATCTCAGAAACAATTACTAAATGGGATCAATCATGAGATTATCAACATAAGTAAACACGAACACTCATAAACACACATTGAGCACAATATCTCGAAACCACTTTGATTAAAGAACCATGAAACGCATTACAACTACGATATTGGAGATTCAGACGATAGGATTGTGACTCAAAGGGCAAATATAGATTCCAAACATATCAATGGCAGTACTTACAAAACGTTAATTTCCAAACGAAACGATACTGAAACACTAATTCAGACATTCCAAACTTCATTAAACCTAAAACCAACGTTCCAGATAGATCGAAACCCTAACTCATACAGTTTAAGAGCTGGTGAATTTCGTGACGGCCTTGGTACCTTCCGACACGGCATGCTTCGCCAACTCTCCAGGAAGAACAAGTCTCACGGCGGTCTGAATCTCCCGGGAAGTGATGGTCGGCTTCTTGTTGTACCTCGCAAGCTTCGACGCCTCCTGAGCGAGCTTCTCGAAGATATCGTTGATGAAACTGTTCATGATCCCCATCGCTTTGCTTGAGATCCCGATATCTGGATGAACCTGCTTCAGAACCTTGAAGATGTAGATCTTGTAAGTCTCGATGCTCTTCTTCTTCATCTTCTTCTTCTTGTCACCGCCTGCACCAGCCTCCTTCGGGAGCTTCTTTCCGGCTTTTGGTTTCTTCTCCGCCAGAGCTTTCTCGGCTTTCGATTTCTCCTCCACCGGCTTCTCTGACGCCGGTTTCTTCTCCGCGGGCTTCTTCTCTCCCTTGGGCGCCATGGATTCTCTCTCTCTCTCTCGAGTTCACTAAGCACAAATCTGAGATCGAGTAGATTGAAAAAAATGCTTTTGTTTGCTTGATATCTACAATGGAATCGAGAGATTGCTTTTATATATATCGAAAGGATTTATATGATTGGATGAAATAATTTGACGCGGATCGATGCCTGCATCGTTGGATCGATTGTTTAATGGAAAGATATCGACGGTCTATAAGGAATCTTAAAAAGAAGGGAAAGCTCTCACACGTGACGATTCCTATTGGATACACTTGGTGGCGGGGACTGTTGACGTGTCGAGTTTGGCGCTTTAATCTCGTCCTGAAATTTTTGTTTCCTGCTCCCGCCTTTCTACATCGCCCCATGTAATTTTTTTTTTTTCCGGCAAACTAAATTTTATAATTAGAATAAGTTTACAAAGTCTGAATACAAAGATTGACATAACCATTTTGGTGAGTACAATTTTGAAGACTAGAATACAGAGTTTGACGGTCCACGTCTTGCCAACAAATGAGCTGGAGCATTATTCTTTCTCTTTGTATGATTAAATGAACAAATATCAAATTTTGTCTTCTAATGTAAGATATCGCTGCAAACATTATCTATGGAAAATTCTGAGGACTTATTATGGATAACACCAATCAGAATTTTACAATCTCCGTCAAAGACTAGATTCCTTAATCCTGTACTCCAAAGTTGTTGCATTGCAATTAAAAAAACTTTTGCCTCAGCTTCCAATGGTGAGAAAGTTTTACCAATAGAGGAAGAACCCCAAAAGCAATGAATTCCTTCATGGTCACGTACTATCCAACCAGTAGTAGCAAACTGAGTTACAGAATTAAAACTTGCATCAAAGTTGCATTTAAAACCTCCAGGAGATGGACGATGCCATGGATCTTGGCAATGTTGTTGACATAAAGTTTCACTGTTTTCAACAAGGCTTCTGACTTAATTTTCCGAAATTGACTCATTTGCTTGAATCCATTCATTTACATCAATATTTGCGTAATGGATTACACGTTCAGGTCTCACTCGTTGTTTTTTGAAGATTAAATCACATCTGGATTTCCAAATTCGCTAAATTAACCAAAAAGGTTGAAGTTTTTGGAAAGTTGATGGAGCTTGAGAATCATGAAAATCAATCAGACTTAAGATATTATTATCACAATAATCCTCATCTGTCTCGCTCGGTTGCCATGGACACTGGGACATTCTCCAAATCATTTTGGAGACAGGGCAAGTAAACATAGTGTGATTTATTGATTCTGGAGACGAACAACATCGTTGACATGTTGTATCCATAAAAATCCCTCTGGTATTTAATCTAGTAGATGTTCCAATTGCTCTAGATAAAATACTCCAGAGAAAATGTTTGAGTTTTGGCATAAGTGGTAGTCTCCAGATTTTTTCTTTGATCTCAGTATTACCGTGAGGAGCAACAATTTCCTCCATGTTTTCTTGGAAAGCTAGCCAATAACCACTCTTAACCGTATATTCTCCTGAAGTGTCATGGATCCAAACCGTTTTATCAGACTCTGAATATTGCGGGAGATATAAATCTTTGACAAGTTCCTTATCTTCTTCGTTGAGATAAGCATCCATCATTTCCAAGTTCCATGTACGAGGTGATTCAGTAATTAAAGATTTAACCAGGACATCTTCTTTTCCATGAACATTTGTGGTTGGTTTCGGTGGAATTGTTGGAATCCAATTATCTTCAAAAACACTAGTCGATTCTCCATCGCCAATGAGATGACGAGTTCCTTTCTTTAATAGTTCTAAACCATTAAGAATGGAGCTCCATCCATAGGACTGATTTTCTGACCCTTGGCTTTTAAAATTGAAGTGTCTTTGAAATATCTTGCTTTAAGAAGTTTGGCTAGTAACGTATTAGGATGTGTGAGAATACGCCAAGCTTGTTTAGCGAGTAAAGCGTCATTGAATTTTGTGAGATCACGAAATCCCAAACCTCCGTTCTTTTTTGAAAGCTGAAATCGTTTCCATGCAATCCATGAAATTCCTCGATTTTTATTTCCTTTCTCCCACCAAAATCTCATCAACAAGTTGCTTATTTCATCCGTAATATGCACAGGTAATTTAAAACATGACATAGAAAATACGGGCATTGAGATTCCTACAGATTTTATGAGGATTTCTTTACCCGCTTGTAATAGAAAATTTGCACTCCAATGAGACGTATGTTTCCTCACTTTGTCTATAATGTACTTAAACATTTCTCCTTTTTTACAGCCAAATTGTTCCAGCAACCCCAAATATTTACCGCCTCCATCATGTTTATCAATCCCAAGTATTCTTTTAAGTCGAATTTGAAGATCTCCAGGAATTCTTGAACCAAAAGTGATCACAAATTTGGATGGATTGATTTGTTGACCAGGCATTTGTTCATAGTTCTTGAAAATGTCGTGTATAGCTTTGCAGTTGCGATTGTTAGCTTGGCAGAAGAATAGTGAATCATCCGCAAATAGAAGATGAGTAATGGCTGGAACCCCATTTCCTATCTTTATTCCTCGGATTTTACCCATGTCTGAAGCAGATTTTATCATATGGCTTAGAACATCAGCACAAAGTATATAAAGATACGGCGATAAAGGATCTCCTTGCCGTAGTCCCCTTTCCGGAATGATCCTGCCTTGTGGATTTCCATTTATGAGGACTGAATATTCTACAGAGGTTACTGTCGCCATGATCCAACTGATCCATTGCTCAACAAAACCAAAAGCCCTTAGAACATCTGTCTACTATTATTAAAATTAGAAAATTTGCGAAGATGAAGAGAAGACAAAGTGTGCCAATAGGGTTTCATTTGATAAAGGGCTTTGGTTTCTTACACAATGGTAAAAGAGCACAAGCCAGATCTCTTAAGTTTTAAGACAAAACACTGTAAAGACAAAAAAAAACACATCGAAGACAAAGACCAAAGACCGATAAAATGAAGCTGTTTTGGTTGGTGCCGTCACAGCAAACTTTAAGAAAAAAGTATGTCACTAGGCAATAATAGGAAAAAGTTCGATTTTAACCGATTCTTTTTCATCTTTTTTTTTAAGGATTTCTTCCTCAGTTGGCTCGGCTTTTGAAAACATCAAGATCCATCTCAGTTGGATCAGTTGCTTGAAGCTCGACTTGAATTCCGTCTAATTCTCTCTTGAACCTGTCCTTAGAACTCGCATAGATCATCTTGCTTCTCACTCTTGCTGTGTCCGGAGACCTTGCCCAAAACAACATGAGATTTCTCTAAGAACTTGCAAAGAAGGTGCAGCGAGATAGACAGGTTTTAGATTAGCAGAGAGTAGTAAGTTACATACCATGCGACGAAGAAAATCTTGCTCTTTTGACAGTTCTCTGCAGTGACAAAATCAAAATCGAAAATGGCGTATCGGCATTCATCAGCTGGAAGACTTGCTGCAAAGTCATCATGGGATTGACCAGGCTCGCCGACTTTCTCTACAATCACTTGTTTCTGCTGCTCCTCAATCTTGTAAACGATGAAACGGTATGTTCGTTTCGCTTTCAGTTCCAGAAACTTCAGCTTGCAGTCGTCGTGGACTGCCATTCCTGATGCCGCATTAGCCTGTCACCGACGAGAAAAGAGACATTAAGATGCATCTCTCTTCCAAATCACACACACACACTAGTTTACGCTACATCAATATTTGTGAAACGGAATTTGTGGGTTTTAGATATGTTGTGGAACATTCAATCCAAACTAGCTCCATGCAGAAATTAAACATTTCTAGGAACAACATGTCACTGAGCCATGAACAGATATTGGTAGTGTTAATATCAAAAGGAACGCACATGCAACTTTCACAACATATTTGAAAGATGGTGTAGAGCTATCATAATATCAATTATGACTAGGTTGTAGGATTATGGATTATAATCAAATGACACCGTCCATCAAGAGAATCAAAACACATACGAAATGAACAATCTACACTTCGATAGTAGCAAAAGTAATCTAGAGAAGCGAAAATAATTAATAAGTGATCTATGATAGAATAATTTTCAATACAGTAAGACGATGGATTGTCACTGGAAAAGTGCTCAACAAACGATAGCGTAACCCTAAATTCAAATGAAATTCAACGGAGGAACACATGAAACAGCCAGATTTCTCCTGATTTTAAGATCAATTGGCTTTAACCGAAAACAATCACACTGATAATGCATAGTTTATAGTCCGATTCCTATCATAGATCAGTTCCTCCAGACCATACAACAAACGCAAAATCTCAGAGATCTAAACCAACGAACGAGTCCATCTCCAGATCTAATCGAATAAAACTTTGGGCGAGAACCGAGATACGAAGAATCAAAACCCGAGACGAAACAAAACGAAATGGAGCTCGAATCGATAAGCGCACTCTAAATCAAGTAGCAGAAATCAGAGAAAGAGATATATACGAGAGAAGGGAAAGATAAATCGAGCTCACCATGGCTGAATCAAATTAGTTTCAGAAGAAAAATCTTGCGGAGACGAAGAAGCAGGAGATTATGGAGTCTTTTGTTTTTCTTCGGTGTGCGTCTTTTCTCTTCCTTTTCCTCAGCTTTATGCGGAAGCTATAGACCGAATATATGTGTTTTTTTTTTTTTTTTTGCATCCGCGTTTTTGATTTTTTTTACATCTAATTAATTTACTTTATTTAATACATAGGCAACAAAGCATAATATATCAAAAATACATAATTAAATTAATGGTTAATTATAGAGAATCTTGATTTGATATAATCATATAATAGACAGGCAGATTATATCTTGAACAGATTATATTATAAAATGAAGGTCCAGTAATATATTGAATATAGCACAAATGCCCTAATACTACTCATACTTTTATTCCATTGTGTTTTAACTTATTAGTGGCCATTTTCACTCGGCCTAATGTATACATGACATAGTAAATGTTATGTAATATAGTAGTTTGTATAAGGCTTTGAACTGGTGATCATTACCGATCGAATAGTAAAACAATAATAGGAATGATGCACAGAAACACTAATGACACTCTGTTTTGAATGATAACCAGAGGTACGAGGACTAACATTGACTAATAACATATTATACATTCAATGTTACACCTCATTCTTTGGTCATCATTCAAATTTCTAGTGTCGTTGCTATGTTATTATATTTATTCAAATTCGCTTATGTAACTGATGCACGCAAACAATATATATGGAAACTATATACCAATGTGTTCAACAATTAATTTTATTCACTTTGAGTCGAAAAGAGAGATTATTATATTCACTATAAGAATTGTATGCTTAGTTTTCAAAATTTGTGCTGTTATTCTAAAGTGCTTTTCATGAAACTTAAACTAAACTACAAAATTCAGGTTTAGAAAAAAAAACTATATGCAAAATTAATTTTTTCGGTACTAGTTAAGTATTAAGTTGGAATAGTTCATAATTTATTGTTTATTTATCTTATCGTGGGGAAAATAATTAAAAAAAAAAAGAAAAGCGACCATCTAAAGGAAAGAATAAAATGAAAGGTCGAAGACGCATCTCTTGTCTTGGGGATCTCAGGTGGCTCCACATTCGACTCAACTATCATGATAGCCTGTGATGGAAGCCAGCTGAGTGGAGCTGGAAATATTCCATTCAAGCACTGCCACGTGGAATTTTGCAATTCAACTTCGACGTTGATTTTCCCGGAATAATAGTGTCTATATTTCTAATTTTCTACAATTTGTATGTTTAATGATGCTTACACGCGCTAAAATCACCTTTGTGTTGATTCCTTAAAAAAAATTATTAAAATATCGACTAAACTAGCAAAATGGTTCAAAACTATAAAAAGCAAACCGCGTTAATGTCTCCGTTGGAGTATATGATTAGAAGATACAAGTATACAACATTTTTGACTTCTTGTACTATTGTTTCTCGAGTCTTTCATTTACACTTGTACATTGTGGGTCATTTTGTAGCAACATTTAGGGTCAATGGAAAATTTTCATTTAAAAAAAAAAACATTTTTCGACACAACAAATATTTCCAAAGACATCTATGCGAATGTTGACGAACTTTAAGCAATTTCGATCCAGACATGTATACTTATTGATAGAATGAATCAAAATTTAGAACTAGACTTTGTAAGCGTTCGACCACCAGTTATCGTAGAAACCTAGTGTGTGGGAAAGTTTAATTAGTTTAAAACATTTGCTAGAGTTTCTGGTCGTTGTGATCTTATAGAAACGGTAAGAGTATAGTTTATAGGGTTTCTTAATTAGTTTTGATTTTCTTATTTTTATAAAAATCTAGTTTCATTATAATTGTGTTTGACGTGTTAACACCAAAGCATACTTCCCTTACTATGATCATTACTTATAATAACATAATGGATCTTATAACTTTTTGGATTACGAAAATCCTGACAATAGTACATCTCATTACCAAAGAATTTAGACATTACATTTATGCTAATGAGTCTTCTTTATTCAGCGATATAAGGCCTTTTTCAGCACTAAAAGGTATTCCCCGTCAGCATTAACAAGCTTCCACCAATAGGTCCAATACTGTTAGGAAAATGTATTTCAACATCAATTAAAATTTAGAAGTATCCAGTGATGAGCACTAAAGATTATCCTGACAACATCAAATCTTATTTTTCTTTCATGTCTTTTTTTTAGCATCCGTTGCCTCAAATATCCATATGTTCATACCATATCCGAGAGACTTTGCTATCCTCATTCGGATGTGATTTTGACTATTATGTCAAAACCTTTGTTAGCTCATATCCAAAGCAAAACAAAATTAGTTAAACTTGGATTACAGCTTGTCAATAAGCTAAAATTTCAATGACATAACGAAAACGTCAATATATATTGGTGGTTTACACTTTTCAGTTATCAAAATATAAATGAAATAATTTTGGGCTCCATAAGACAATTACCTCCCAAAGCGCAAATTTTTTAAAACGCAGACCAAACAAAAAACTGGCGCGTTTATAAAAAAAAAAAAAAACACAAAAAAAACTCGCGACGTGTCGAAAAAATATACCTTTTCTCATTGGCTAATCCATAGAGACGAGGATCGCACTTAATTGATTTTCCACCGTCGATAAGACTAGATCCAACAGATAGAAAAATGTGGCCTTTCTTTTTCCCCTATACCTATAAATCACAAGGAAGACCGCGAACGACAAATTACAAATTGCAAATCTCTAATCTCTAAATCTTTCTATATTCTCTGTAAACTTTCAATTAGGAATAGTCTTTGTTCTGTGCAATGGAATCCACCGGAAAAGTGAAGAAGGGTTTCGGAGGAAGAAAAGCCGGCGGCCCAAAGACCAAATCTGTTTCGAAGTCGATCAAAGCCGGTCTCCAGTTTCCGGTGGGGAGAATCACTCGTTTCCTGAAGAAAGGACGATACGCCCAGAGGCTCGGTGGTGGAGCTCCGGTTTACATGGCCGCCGTTCTCGAGTACCTCGCCGCCGAAGTAAGTTTCGCGGTTCTCTGTTAATTTCAGATCTGATTTGTTAAAGCAGCGAAATCATTTTCTGATTCCTAAACTTTGTTTTGATTGCAGGTTCTGGAGCTTGCTGGTAACGCTGCGAGAGACAACAAGAAAACGAGGATCATCCCGAGGCATCTTCTTCTCGCGATCAGGAACGATGAAGAATTGGGGAAACTTCTCAGCGGAGTCACAATCGCTCACGGTGGTGTCTTGCCCAACATTAACGCCGTTCTTCTCCCTAAGAAGTCGTCTGCTAAATCGGCTGAGGATACTGCATCCAAGTCACCAGCCAAATCTCCCAAGAAAGCTTAATTCATCTTCTCCAGTTTACGTTTTCATTCACCAGTTTTTTTTTTTATGTTTTGTATTGGGTATTTTGTTAGTGTTGGGGCTTGGTGAATGTAAAAATGTTGAAAAAGTCGAGCATTTTAGTTTAATCTTTAGGGTTCTACGTATTTCGGTTTCGAAAGTTGTTCAGATCCTCGTATTTCCTAAGTAACAATTAAATGATATTTCCATATTCCAATCCGATTCGTGTTCCCTGATACTACAATCTTAATCTCCTCTCTGTAATTGTCTTTGCCTAACTTAATAATTCAATCAAAGATGGTGTAGACAATCTAATTTGTTTTGATCCGTGACGAAACACATTTGAGTATGTGAAGACCGTGTGCAATTCTTTTGTTCAAGGTGAACGAGTCATTAGTAACACTCAGTTTGAATGATTCATTTCATATTAAGACCATGTACATCAGTGAACTCAGGGGTTCACCAGAATATAATAATATTTTTTTATTTATTTTAGTTTTTATTTTTTTTTAAATTAAAAAATTATAATTTTCGACAAATCAGGATGCTCCATTTCGGGATGAACTGTCTCTTCAGATTCGTCGGTGTCTCTTCAGTATTAAGCTCTTTTGTCTCAAAAACTGTGCCATGAACCCCTCTTGATCCTCTAATGTACATGCTCTAAGCATCTCACGACCATGTATAACGCTTGTCCAAGCTTACGATGGTCTCGATCCTAAACCTTACTCTCTTATCAGTTTTGTTCTACACAGAGAACTTTGGTACTGTGTAATACTCGCCGTGCTTGATTAAACTCATAAATAATTACTCGCCGCGATTTTCCTCTTCCCTTGACAAGAATTCCACCAAAACTGTATCTTGTTATTTCTTACATTGATTCTATTGTAAGTGTAAAGTGTAAACAACGTTAATATTGCATAAACCGAGAATTAATGCCACAGCCACAGATTTGAGGAGGACATTACTTTGGACTTTTATACTAGCAGTCTTGCTTGGGTCATAACTCGCATGATCATATCAGCATTAGTTATGAAATTTGAGTGATTTGTAAGTATGCATGGTGTTTGCAGATACGCGTTCCTAATCAAAGTGAACCAACATTTTATCTTAATTTGCAGATGGTAGGTGAGATTATATGCAATAGTATTTGTCGTTTGCTCGAATCTGCAGGGTGTTAATTGCATGCCGGGAAAAGAAGAGCACAAAAAACCAACAACGACAAACTTGAACCCAACTTATCAGTGAATCTGACTAATTAGGTTACTATATAAAGCTGAAAACAAAGTAGTTTTATGAAAGAAAAATATTTTACAAAAGCATAAATATATCATACGACAAACATGTCATAGACTCATAATGCAAGTTTTGTTGTAAAAACATAAATATGTCCTGGTCGATATATTAGTAAGTAGAGTAGCAACGACCATTACTTTGTTATATTCTGAATCGCATAATCAAGGAAAAAAAAACTTCTTTATGTACCTGCAGGGTCTTTTTGGAATTTAACGGTGAAAGGCTGTAAGCATTTCCCAGCCAAGCGCATGGACCTCTCACGAGAACAATAACCACACTTTGGAGAACAATTGTCTTTGAGTTTCCGCGGAGCATCCTTAACCTCAAGAGTATATCCTCCCAAAGAACTTCCATTGAGTTCTAACGCCTTGTCAACATTATTTTCCAGATCTATGTAAGCATATCTGTAAAATGAGAGAAACAACAACAACAAAAAAAAGAACTAAAATCTCTGCATTTACATTTAACTTGAGCTGTGACGAAGTTGAGGAAGAATTGAAGTCACAAACCCACTGCCACGGGGAACAAAAACACATGTGATATCTCCACATGAACCGAAATGTTTAACCAATGCGCTCTTAATATCATCCCTGGGAAGGTAAGGATCAAATCCATTGACGAAAATGGTTCCCCTATATCTCGATGGATTCACCTTTCCCTTTGAAGTTTCCTTCTCCTATAGAAACAGTTTGAAATAATTAAAGAAATCAACTATATAAAGTGTGAAGCAATCATCTCTCAAGCAACAAAAACAAACTAAAGTAAACACTTAAACAATAAAAACATATACCGGTAGATCAGGCTTTGGCAGTAACGTCTCCGGTACATCAGCATTTGTCAGTAACTTCTCCGGTACATCAGCCTTTGTCAGTAACTTCTCCGGTACATCAGCCTTTGTCAGTAACTTCTCCGGTAGGTTTTTTATTGTTTCAGTCATCTCTTTGATAGAGTCTTTCAACCTTTTGATTTCCTGCCAATAGAAATGTAAATAAGAAAAGCTTGCAAAATTAATCCTATTCATTATACTTTTTTGAAGACTGTTATCTAAATAAACCGTAATGGTGTGATAAGAGAGAATCTTATTCACATCAAGAACATCTTCTATGGTAGATGCCTGTCTATCTATATTAACGTCATGCGTAGCCATTTTCTTGGACGCTGGTACTTCTTTCCCTGAAACAAAACCAAGAGATGTGAGATAAATCCAACAAAAATCAAATGATATAACAAAAAACAACACAGAAAATCTTGAATTCGCAAAAACAAAGTTTCCTGTATAATTATTGATCAGTGCTCTTACAAGAATTCATATGAAAATAAAATCCAAACGTAACGGTTGGTCATTGTAAAAGTGATCGCTGGAACAGAGATGGATATCAAGACTTCTTAATCCGGCGATTATTACACTTTATCGAAAAGGACGATTCAGTTATTATCTGGTTAAAATTACATGTATTCTTATATTTGCAAGATGTGTATTTTCTTTTGAATTGTATGACCTAGTTTATGTTCTGTATTTGTTAATTTTATATTGCAAAAATATAGGAAGAATATTAGAAGTTAACAGTAGGTGCTGAGAAATCAATGGAATCATGGTGCAATATTCCAACCAAAAATGAGGAAAAACATAAAAAAAACTTACAAAAAGCGCAGGAAATTTTGATTCCAAATGAAAACTCCAGAATATATCTCAAATCAATATTATTACAGTTGGGAGTACAGAAAAATAGTCTAAATTTGAGTCTACATTATAGAACCAACTACCATGACTAAGACTTGTTGTAGATTTAATCCGACCAAATAAAAATGAAGTAGTTTGCAAAAAGAAAGATAGCCAAATCGACATAAAATCCAATGGTCGGTAAAAATAAACAAATTCAATGATTTCTCCAAATCACAGATGGTCTAATATGATCTGAGCAAATAAAGAGAGAACACAAAAGACACCCAATTAATTACCTTTTCGCGAATGCTCGGTGGATTTCTTGCGTTTCTTATTTCCTATAAAGATTAATATCCAAAAAAAAAAAACACTTGAGAAGAGATCTTAAACGGATAGCAAAGGAAGAAGGTGCCAACCAAAAAAAAATAATAATCCAATTTCCTACCTTTTGCATGTTCAACCTAAAAACAGGAGATACAAAAAAAGAAACGCATTAGTAAGAAAGTTCTTAAAATTGAGTAAGTAATTAGTAAGAAAGTTCTTAAAATTGAGTAAGTAAGAAGAACATAGAAAGAAGAAAAATACATCGGTGGATGCAGAGCACTTCTTGAGATCCATGCCCACTTTGTCCATGAGGAGTTGAGAAAATAAGAGATGAGCTGCCGCTACGTTAAAAATAGACTGCATATTTATAACTCTTTTTTTTTCCATTCTGGTCTTAGATGAGAATTTTTGGGCTGTGTTTTATGGGCCATGGGATCCTAAACAAATTTGGATAACCCAAAACATTGTCTTCGATATATTTCTATAATTATTCTGTGTGTTTTGTGTTTAAACTAATCGGATCTGTTTTTGCTAAATGAAATGAAACTTGTCGGATCTGTTTCATCGAGTGACGGCATCTTGTTTGTTGAAGGAGGCAAGCTCGCCGTGGGATCTGGAGAAGAATCACGATGCTGACATGTTGATGGTTGCAGAATGAGAAAAAGTATGACATCCCAATTTCTAGTATATATAAAAAATGTTTATAAAATTGATTTGGATACCTATATCATTAAATTGCACTTATATTTTTAAGCATTGGTCTTTTGAGAGAACTTCAGAGTTAAGCGTGTTTATGCTGGATCAATTCGGGTGATCTACTGAAAAGTAGTCTGCGGTACCGTGTTCGTGTGAGTGAGGATAAAGCACAAGAAAATATTATGTGATGATTACAGAGACAGTAGACAAGTCTTATGAGCCTCCCAGATCAAACGATTCCAGACCATTGGAGATGAGTGGGCCAACAGACCTAGAAAAAGGACGTTGGACCCACGGATCTAGAGAGGGCGTTGGGCTCACTGGTAAATGGAGTTGGGGGCGTTAGAGTTGTTAATAGCCAATCCTGATGAAATGCGGGATCAGCGTCTCATGAATTTCATAGCTGGGCCCGTATGTTTCCTGGAAGGGAAGAAGAGAGTGGGGTCTCACAATGTGGTATCAGAGCCTAAATTAGCCAACCGGCTCTGATCCGGGTGTCTCTTGGGATGTAGATAAGGAAATACGAGGAAGAATTTCTTGGAAATCGGGGAGAATGTGACATCCCAATTTCTAGTATATATAAAAAAATGCTTATAAGAATTGATTTGACTATGTATGTCATCAAAATGCAAGCACGCTGAAGCAATCTCATGATGGGTGATTTACAAGGAAGTGGTCTATGGTGCCGTGAGAGTGAGGACAAAGCACGAGAAAATATCATGTGGTGATTGTAAAGACAATAGACAAGTCTTATAAGCCTCCCAGACAAAATGATTCCCGACTGTCGGACAAAGGTGGGCCAACGGGCCTAGAGAGGATGTTGGGCCAACAGGCGTAAATAAAGGACGTTAGACCCATGGGCCTAGAGAGGACGTTGGGCTCAATGGTAAAGGCGGTTGGGGTGTCAGAAATGTTGATAGCCAATCTAGATGAAATGTGGGATCAGATTCTCATAGATTTAATAGCCGGCCCGTCTAGTTACAGAAGGGAAGAACGAAGAGGGGTCTCACAGAAAGATGAAGGCCTGTTCGTTTTTTGATCTAGATTTTGCATCTAAATTTAGCATTTAGATGTTGCATCTAGATATATTATCTAGATATTGTTTTTTTTGGAAATTTATTTTGCATCAAGTTGCAGCGTCTAAATACAAAATTGTTCGTTTCTGAATTTAGAAAAATAGTTGGATGAAAAATATATCAAATGACTATATGGGCATCTCCAAGAGAGACTTGAGAAACTTGAGAAACTTCAAATTTGAAGTTTTAGGTATTTCTCTCCAAGAGTGACACTTCAAAATAAACTTCAAACAAAGTTTATTTTGCATTAAAGTCCTTACTTCTCAACATAATTAGTGAAACTCATTAAATATTATAAATAACTATAAAACATATATTAAAATTTTTTATAGATAATATTGATTAATTAAACATCATTAATATTATAAAAAACCCACAAACATAATCAAAAATAACAAAATAAAATACTAAATTATTCACTGACATTATTTATGTGTGTTTTTAATTTAGTTTTTGTAATGTTTAATGTGATATTTTAATTTGAAGTTGTTTTTTTTAATTTTGTATATGAAAATTACAGTTAAAGATATATATGAAATAATTATCAAACAAATTATAGAATTAAAATGATAAACAAACATAACTAAAAACATTATCTATAAGAGCATCTCCAAGAGAGACTTCATATCTTCAAATTTGAAGTTTTATGCACTCCAAAACAGTGGCGGAGCCAGAAACTTTTTTCATTGGGGGCAAATAAGAGTATATATAATTTTAGAAGTGGGGGCATTGATATTTGGCTTTAATAAACTACACCAAAATTTTAAAATCAATGGGGGCGAATGACCCCATGTTAGACAAAGTGGCTCCGCCACTGCTCCAAAAGAGACTTCAAATCTTCAAATTTTGAAGATCTGAACAGTGACACTCTATATTTGAAGTTTTACTATTCAGATCTTCAAATTTGAAGATTCATCTTTTTTTTGCATTTTGGTCTTTATAATTAACTATATTTATATATTTATGTTCTTTTATCATTTTAATTTTATAACATGTCTGATAATTATTTCATATATATTTTTATAATTGTAATTTCAAATTAACATATCACATAAAAACATTACAAAAAGTAAATTACAAATACATATAAATATAACATAATATTATTATACAGATTTATTAATACAACATAAAGTTTTTTTAGAAAATATTATAAGCACACATAAGTAATACAAAAATTAAAATACTATAACAACACTAATAATCAGACAAATTTGATCCTGAACCTCTAAGATCACCAAAATACTAACCCTATATATTTAGAGTTGGAAGTTGTTGTTGTTCTTGAGTTTTTTTTTTGTATGATTTTTGCTTGTTCTGATCGAATAAACTCACGAGTATTACTATCAACAATAGAGTCTAAATTTGTTTGCAGTATTTTATTTTCTTCTTGCATTTCTTTTAGAGCCAACTTCTTTGCTTGATTTTGCATATGTAATTGAATTGGCAATCAATGAGAATACCCGATTTCAACAACTTTTAGCTCGTTATCTATAGATAAAATATAAAGAAACACATTTATCACTTCGAAAGGCATTGATTGATCATATATGAGAGTTTTACGAAAATAATGTTAATGAATAATTTAGTATTCTATTTTGTTATTTTTTGTTTGTGTGTTTTTATGATATTAATGATGTTTAATTAATTAATATTATATATAATCGTTTTTAATATATGTTTTATAGTTATTTATATTATTTAATGAGTTTAGCTAATTATTTTGAAAAGTAAGGACTATAATGCAAAATAGAAAAATTTTGAAGTTTATTTTTGAAGTATCACTCTTGGAGAGAAACACCTAAAACTTCAAATTTGAAGTTTCTGAATCTTCAAAAATGAAGTCTCTCTTGTAGATGCCTTAAAGACACTTAATTATAAGAATCAAAATGCAAAAAAAAGATGAATCTTCAAATTTGAAGATCTGAATAGTAAAACTTTAAATATAGAGTGTCACTATTTAGATCTTCAAAATTTGAAGATTTAAAGTCTCTTTTGGACTGCATAAAACTTCAAATTTGAAGATATGAAATCTCTCTTTGAGATGCTCTAAGGACATACTTTTGAATAATTTGATATACTTTTGAATAATTATTTTTATTTATAATCAATTTAGTTTTATATTAAATTAACCTAAAATTATTTCAAAGTGATATTTTTATCAAATTAATTTTTAAAATACATAAAAAATAAATTTGCATTTTTTTGTGGGAAAACATGATTTCGTAGATTTGTTAGGGATTTTTTTTTGCGTTTTGGCGAGAAGTTAGAATTTGAGTTTCGGCGAGAAATTAAATTTACGTTTCTTTGGAAATTAAAACCGAGATTTTGCGTATTGTCGCGAAAAAAAAATAATTTTTAGCATTTGTGGTGGAAAACTGAGATTTTGCATATTTGGCGGGAAACCTAGATTTTGTGTTTTTGACGGGAAAACAATATATTTTGCGTTTTTTGGCGGGAAAATGAGAGTTAGCGTTTTTGGGGAGAAAAATGAGACTTTAAGTTTTTGACCAAAATCCTAGATTTTGCATTTTTGACGGGAAAACAAGATTTTGCATTTTTGGCGAAAAAATGAGAGTTAACATTTTGGGCAAGAAAATAAGTTTTTTCACTTTTGGTGTAAAACCGAGATTTTTTATTTTTTACGAGAAACCGAAGATTTGCATATTTACCGGAAAACCAAGATTTTAAGTTTTTGGCGTGAAAATAAGATTTTAGGTTTTAGCGAGAACTTGCGATTTTGCGTTTTTAGCGGGAAATCAAAATTTTGCGTTTTTTATAGGGTAAATGAAATTTTCCGTTTTTGCCAGGAAACCAAAATTTGCTGTTTTGGCTGGCATCGAAGCTTTTCATTTGACGGGAAAATTGAGATTGTGCAAATATGGCTGGAAAACGTGATTTGGCCAAAAGCCGGGATTATACATTTTAGCGATATTTTTTGTTTTTTTGAGAAATGATTTTTTGCTAAAAATGATTTTCCTTATATATATTATGAATATGGTACTATATTGAAGGGTATTTTAGTCTTTTGGTTTTGAGATGCTAGATTTGCAGCTAGACTCTACATTTTTCAGCATCTCAAATATCTAGATTTTTGAGATGTTGTTGAGTTTGCATCTAGATGCAGCATCCAGATGTTGGTTCTAAAGTGTCAAACGAATATTATTTGAACATTTTCATCTAGATACAGCGTCTATATGCAAAAATGAACCGGGCCTAAGAAGATAAGAAGCACCAGGAGTGGTGGCCGAAGGAAAAACTATAGCAGCAGAAGAATGCTAAGAGAGGCGGTGGTGTCGTATGAAGCCGTCGTGAGGCAAAAATTTGATTATTTGAGCAAAAAAATCAAATAAAACAACAATGCATATGTCATGTCAATGAAGGCTAAAGCCCAAAGTCTAATTAGCCCATTTCAGTATATAAAATTATAAATCCAAAAAATATTGAATTGATTTAGTGGATATTTCCGTTTAAGCTTAATCAGTTAATTTTTTTTGGTTGCCAAACATACTTTTATTATAATTTTAAAAAAAAAAAATATTTTAAATCTCAATTGCTCATATTATTTATTTTATTTTTCTGTAATTCCTTATTTTTAAAAGTCATGACTGTAAGACTTTTATTGGTTTAAAGCTAATTTTCTTTGTTTTAACAGAAAAAACATTTTAAGTATTATTTTTAAGTAAAGTCTACAGTAAATACCATATACCAAGCAATATCTTCATTTTTTAAGCCACTTTTTTTTTAAAAAAAAATCAAACTTTAAAATCATTTGCTGTTAAGATAAATATAGAGTAACAACACATACCAAACAAGCCCTATAAATTCTGACTTTTATTTTTGTAAAGTCACAGTTAGTATTAAAAGTTAAAATTTTCAAAGTACTCAAATATAAATTAAAAGTTCCAGTTTTTACCTTTTAAAAGTTGATAATGTTTAAAGCATACTTTTGCTTTCTTTAAGCTTCAAAATCACTAAAATTTCTACAGTTTTTATTTCTCGTTGTTTAAACCAATAGTTTATGATTTTATTTGGCTTGTAGGCTTTGTAGGCTATAACTTTTTATTTTCCAATTGCAATTCCATTTATAAATAGGATTAAAGTAAATCCCACAACCAAACAGGAAAAAAAACTGGCGCCGTATCGAAAATTCGAAATACATGGAAACGTTTCTGATTGGTTAATCCGATCACACGAGGATCGCATCTTATATCATCCTCTACCGTCGATAGGACCAAATCTAACGGATACAGATCTTCTTCCTGCTTTTGTCCCGCTCAACTATAAATGACACTGAGGACCGGGATCTAAAACGACACAAAACTAATACAAATCTTCTTCCTTCTTTCTTCTTCAGAATTCGTGGCAATGGAAACGACAGGAAAAGTGAAGAAGGGTTTCGGAGGAAGAAAAGCCGGTGGCCCAAAGACCAAATCTGTTTCGAAGTCGATTAAAGCCGGTCTCCAGTTTCCGGTGGGGAGAATCACTCGTTTCCTGAAGAAAGGACGATACGCCCAGAGGCTCGGTGGTGGAGCTCCGGTTTACATGGCCGCCGTTCTCGAGTACCTCGCCGCCGAAGTAAGTTTCGCGGTTCTCTGTTAATTTCAGATCTGATTTGTTAAAGCAGCGAAATCATTTTCTGATTCCTAAATTTTGTTTTGATTGCAGGTTCTGGAGCTTGCTGGTAACGCTGCGAGAGACAACAAGAAAACGAGGATCATTCCGAGGCATCTTCTTCTTGCCATCAGGAACGATGAAGAATTGGGGAAACTTCTCAGTGGAGTCACAATCGCTCACGGTGGTGTCTTGCCCAACATTAACGCCGTTCTTCTCCCTAAGAAGTCGTCTGCTAAATCGGCTGAGGATACTGCATCCAAGTCACCAGCCAAATCTCCCAAGAAAGCTTAATTGATCTTCTCCAGTTTACGTTTTCATTCACCAGTTTTTTAGTTATGCTTTGGGTATCTTTTGTGAGCTTTGGTGAATGTATATGTAGAAAATCTAGCTCTTAATTATGTAATTTGGATTTGATTTCTCTTCAGATCCAACTTTTTAAGTAACGATATATAAAAAAATCTTTTGCAATTTTGTTTTAGTCTTCTCAATAACCTATCGCAGCAAAATAAACTATTAAATCTATCTCGTTAAGAGTCATATTTAAATTGTCCTACGCTTCTTCTTTTGTCGCTGTGTTAATTTTTCAAGCGTATCAAATGTTCCTTTCTCAAATGGTTCGTCGTGTTTATTTAGCAACTCCATTACGATATCTATCAACTCGAGGTTCTGGTTCATCCAAATTATTCGTTGGAGGTAATATCCGTCAATGCTTAGCTTAATCGCTTCTTGATTAATATCTTTGGTTAGCTTACAAATTCTCCTTTTTTATGTATGTGGGTGTACATCTGATCGGTTTACATAAGATAAACTATAAGGCCTTCGAAAACATGTTAAATTCTGGTTCCTATCCATGATGAAAACTGCACACTAACTGTTTGATTAAATGCGTGAAAGAACCACTTAAAATTGTAAATATCACTGCAGGGCTTAGCTACGACACTAACGAACCTGTTTTGAAGAATGAGTTTGAAAAGTACGGTCAAGTCTTAAATGGTAAGATCGCCATGAACTCTATTAGTTTTCTTCAAAAATCATCAGAGGATAAACAATGCAATACCTCTGAGTTGCTTTCTTTTGTTGGATGTGAGTTCAGTGAGAGTAATATGTGATCACATGAGCGGGAAATCAAAAGGTTATGGCTTTGTGGTATTTGATTCAGAAGAAGCAGCTGCATGTGCCTTAGCTTCCATGAACAATCAGGTTTCTACTACTTTGTACACCAAAACAAATTCAGAAAAAGACATTCGAACAAAACCTTTACTACTTTATACAGATAAGTGCTGACTTGATTTTGTCTGTCTTTTGTTCAGTTACTCGAAGGCAGAAACATTAGAGTCGAATATGCTCAACCTAAAGGAGGTTTACATCAGAATCAGAATTGAAACTTCATATCTGTCGATGAAAGCACCATAACTCAGGAAACTGCATTCACTCTTTTGAATTGGCAACAGTGTAGAACTCTTGAAAGATTTTAGTGTTGAGAGTCTTTAGTTGTTTTGTAATGACTCTGTCTGTGTGTTCTCTTCAAGCTTTTTGTTATTGTTCATATTTGTTGTTGGTGCTTCTACTTCCTTCGCAGTTTCTACAAATATCAATCGGCCATTAACAATCTGAAACCAAAAAACCAAATGCAGAACTCAGTCCCAGTTTTTGAAGGAAATACACCAATCTTGGATATATTCGTTTGATTGATTTTCTGATTCAAGATCAGTTCAAAAGCCAAGAATGAATACTACATTTCAACAGTGAGTGAAGGATTGGATCATCACCTTCCCATCTAAAGCTTTCATCGCGATCTGTGCATTATCCTCGGACTCATAGGTGATGAAGCCGAAGCCTTTAGGTCTCTGTGTTTGCGAGTCCCTTATAAGACGAGCTAAATAAACACACACACACAACAAAATTAGCTAAGACACCTAATTGGAGAAGAGTTATTAGAGGGTACCTTCTCTAATCTGACCAAAAGGTGAAAATAGTTGCCTTAGCGATTGATCCGTGGTGTAAGCAGAGAGTCTTGCAAGATAACAGATTCAATAAAACAAAAAATGAGAGAATATTTTCCGAGTTAGAGATGAAAAAAAGATTTATCATACTGCTGACGACGAGCTGTGCTGTGAATCTCTTAGCCATCGTAATAAACCTGAATTCGATTCACAGGCGTATGAAACCTACCATGAGCTTTGAAAAAACAAAAAATACGAGCTTGAAACGGCGGCGTTTGCGAAAAAGATGTTCTTGGCTTGACGATTTCTCTGTCTCTTTACCGGCATGTTGCTCTGCCTCGGCAAGAAATTACTCGGCGCCAAATGACTTATTACTTCTGGGCTCCTGGAAAGCCCACAAAATAGGAGTGAAGACGATCCGGTTTAAATTTGATTACGGCTTTTGTGTATTCGGTTCTCTGGTTTTGAAAATACATAAAACACCATTTATTCATCTAACCAGTCGATTTAGATTGATGCATTTTAGTTACTTTTGGATTTGATTAAATTCAAAAGTAACTTCAAATAGATATACAGTATAATGATATGATCATTAGCATAAAAATACTCATAAATTTATTTTCATTCGATTTGGTTAATTAACATTAAAGTTTGTTTATAAATTCTTTTGGTTGGGTTTGACTCGTTTTTTTTTGTTACCTAAGTGCTCCTGAATAAATAACAGAACACAAACTTTACCGTATGATTGCTACATGAATTGACGGTAAAGATGTTAACGAGGTTTTATGAAAGGCCCAATAATGGTCCATTGAATCAAACCCGGATCAAATTAGCCCTTCTAAAAATTTCACAAAGGAGCCCCAATAAAAGCAAAAACCCTAATTCGATGGTTGTATTTAGCTCTCTTATTCAACTTTGTTACTTCGACGTTAGCAGGAGTGTTTGAGCGGCTGCCACTTCGATTTCAAGGTTAGAAAAATCTCCAGAACATCAAGCTTTTTTTCTTGTTTGGATTCTCGGATCTGACTTCGTGTCTGCTCGATCACGACGTGTAATCAGCCTGAAAATTTCCCTGAAAACTCTCTTATCTTGGAAATTTGAGCTTAGTTTATAGGTTGACAATAGTATTGGCTCAAAATGATAATTAGATCTATTGAATTTTTTTTTACCCTTTCCTTACAACATGTTATCTAATTTAATGTTGCAATCAATTCTCGAATTAGATGCCACTATAGATGTGCATTGAAGCGGGTTGTGTAAGAAGTGTTAGATTTGGTGGTAAGTCAAAAACGAATTGCGTATTGGTAATTTTGTGTATTTAGAATCTCTATTGTTGTGATGTCTCTTTAATTTTTTTATTGAAAAGTTTGATTTCAGCTCAGATTGATCGTTTGTTGTTTGGTTTCAGTTTTCGAGTTTTGAAAAATGGTGAGAATCAGTGTGCTGAACGATGCTCTGAAGAGTATGTACAATGCGGAGAAGAGAGGGAAGAGGCAAGTTATGATCAGGCCTTCTTCCAAAGTGATCATCAAGTTTCTCATTGTCATGCAGAAACACGGTATAGTGATCTTCATTGTCAAGCTTATTCGTTTTACTAAGTCATGCTTGTTCTGTTCATGCTCTTTAACAGTAGTATTTTCATGAAACTGCAGGTTACATTGGTGAGTTCGAGTACGTTGATGACCACAGGTCTGGTAAGATCGTGGTTGAGCTTAATGGAAGACTGAACAAATGTGGAGTCATCAGTCCTCGTTTTGATGTTGGAGTTAAGGAGATTGAAGGTTGGACTGCTCGTCTTCTTCCTTCCAGACAGGTTGGTCTTTAAGTCTTGTTCTCTATGCTCCGTATCATATGATTTTGGTCTCTAAATGAGAGCATTTACCGATAGTGTTTATTCTCTTTTATTCATTCTGTCAGTATATCATTATACAGTCACTTGTATCCTATATGTTTTAAGCAATCTTAAAACTTGAGTGATCTTACGTTGAAATCTTGAATTGTGCAGTTTGGTTACATTGTTCTTACAACCTCTGCGGGTATTATGGACCACGAAGAAGCCAGGAGAAAGAATGTTGGTGGCAAGGTTCTTGGTTTCTTTTACTGAAGGCAATGGCTTTGAGAGAATCTTCTTGTCGGTTTATACTTTGCTTCTCCTTTTGGTGAGATGAGGAATTCGATTGAGCTCAAAGTTAAGGGTAGTAGAGTTTTGGATGCGTTCTTCTATTTGTCTTATTTTTAGATAATATGCCATTTTGTTCGTTTTGGGTTTTGCGCAACAGTTGTTAAAGACTTGCCAAGTAGACAGTAAATTTCAATTTCTGTTTTCTTAAAAAAAAAAACTTGCTTTCCTTGAGCTAATCATCTATCTGAGGCGTTTCAATATCATTGTTAGAGGTTTCTGCCTCATTTTGTTCCATTTTATCCAAGGATGAGAGATCAATATCATTGTTCCAATTAGCTTGTGTAGCATATTTCAGTACACTGATCTTCTAGTACAATTTCAGATTATTGAATTGTATGTAAGTTGAGCTATGTAATAATTGGGCTGATTACATTATATAATTTTGATTCTTTTATGTTCCTTTTTGACTGCGCACCCAGAGAATTTAAACTCTTGGATAGATTACATTTATTTTGGTGATTTTTTTTCTCCCTCTTTGACTAGAAAATACTAAACACAAACAAAGTTAGTCAAATTTCGTTTAATGTCATTACAATTGTTTTGAATATAAGGAGGAGAGGTCAGTCAAAATTTAAAACATCTTAGCTGGATTGAGTTAGTCTCGCTTCTTCCAAATATTATGCGTGAACCATATCTTCTTCTTTTGGAACTTAAAATGCGTGAACCATACATATAAAGAAACCGAACATTTACGGCGATAAGGAAATTACCATTTTGCGATCTACTGTAGATATAAGAGGCCCATACAGCAATTTACTACTCGATCGAGTTCGCACATTCTACCCGCAAGATGATACATTAAGAGTCGAGACCACAGCATAAAGATCTTCATCATACTGTTTCGTTTGTTCAAGAATCATAATCAACTTTTCAAATCTGATATTGTCAAGTTAATAGACGTTTGATAGATTAGATTGTTGAATAATTATCTTTCTAACTAACATAATGTGTATACTCCATACATACATATATAAACTTCATCCTTAATATCTTTTATAAGAAATGTTACATTTTGTTTTATTGTCAACATCTTTCACATTTTCAATACATAGAATATCTCAAGCTCATTATTTCATGTATCAACCACAATGGTAATATTTATATCATCTTCAAAACATGTTCAAGGATATATAATCTTCAAAACATGTTCAAGGACATTTGGGCTGGCCTTTGGAGTTCTTCATATCGCGGTAACAAGGGCATTCATCTTTGTTTCCATAAGTGCCTGAGGGAACACAATTGTTACACTTCTCGCAACATATATTGCAATACTTGAGACACCGATCTTGTCTTCCCGCCTTTGAACATCTCATATTGCATTTTCCGCCGCATGGTGCTAATATGATATATCATTGCATATATAAATTGATTAGTTTAGACAGGAGATTCAAATAAAAACATTATCTGAAATAATTATCTGAATTATGTATCCTTACATGAATCGGCGGTTGATAGCATGAACAAAGAAGATGTGAGGAGAAGAGAGATAATGAAGAATTGTACCACCACGAATTTCATCTTCATTCTTAGTGAGTTTGAAGTTCTTTTAGTTTGCTTCGATCAGGTTTATTACTTTGGGAAGATGAAGACAAATAAACTCAAAGTTTGAAAACAATGCAAAAGAAGTGATGGTTTGGGAGGAGCAAAATGAGGCTACAAAAAGGAGTTATTTATAGTGAAAAAACTTGAAGTAGGTGAAACGTTTCTTAACGATTGTGTATTTAAATGAATCAACTCCAAATTTATTACTTATTGACTTATTGTATCGTATACATTTTATTTTAACATAATACAACTATCAAGATGTGTAATCAAACCATATATATGATATATCAACACCCTGTTCTTTTGTTTTACCAGTATGTCAAAATATGTTTAAAATGTATAATGAAAGCATTTATGTGATTATGGTTAATTGTACTCTATAATATATTTTATCTCGCATTACATAAAGAACCAAATTATAAACTATACATTAGCTTATTTATCTTGTTTACCTTTTATTATGTACGTATAGAAATTATGTTTTTCGCTGTTCTCAAATCATATTTCCCAAACTTCTTTACTAAAAGAAATGTTAGAAAGATAAAATTTGCTTTGAAGAGCCTATTAATTTCATTGTTTGCGTGCCGTTGTGTAATTGTCTTACACATATGTATTACTGTCGTTATTATGAAAATAGATATATGTATATACATCAAATGATTATTTTTTTTTCTTAATGAGAAATACGAAGGCACAATGTCGTTCACGTTGAGCGACCATCGCGTTAAAGCTATAACAAGAGTATCACACGTAATCGGAACCTAAAGGCAGGGGAACTTCTAGAGCTTTTTCTTACTTATTAGATTTCAACTAATATTTATTATTATATATATATCTTTTGTAAAATAATGTCCACAGAAAAGTTGGAAGAAAAACAGTACATATAATAATGTATTGGTTGTTTAACAACGCAATGCATTATGCATCTATATATTCTTATCTCAAAGTTATAAGGATGTAAATCAAAACAAAAGTTATAGATCAGATCCGAATAAGGTGAGTTCGACTAAATACAATGGACTACCCACTTTTTATCACTATTAATGAAGTATTGAAGTGTGTTTTTGTCAAGACAGTTTTAATTAAACTAGATCTCGTCTTTATACGAATCTTGTCCAATCGGCTGACAAATGGGATGGATTCAAACTTCACTCTGTTTTTCTTAAGTCCTTCAGCAATGGTTTTTGTCTGCTTGCTTCATAATGGTATGCAAAATTAAGATTATTAGAATTCTCGCTATATTTGCATTTTTTATTTACTTGTTCATAGTGAAATCTCTTTATATTGTATCTACCTTTCATGTTTTTTTTCCTTCTTTTTTATTTAAATCTTCTCTTTAATAATTCACATAATAAGTTGTATGTGTGTGTAAATGTGTGTGAAAATCGGGAAAAATATTTTAGCTTTCACAAAATTCATTAATATTTTAATTCTCTTTCCAATTAGGTCATTGTAGTTCTAGAAATTAGTGGATTTGTTGGCAAAGAGTAGCTTATAAGCATATCTATACTTCACCCAAGTTGCCTCTTCTATCACTTTGTATCTTGACTTTTATTGTGTAGCTCCCTTCACAATTTATGGAATTATCAAGATTTCTGCCACGTGTCTATTTTTGATTAGGCCAGCTGATTTGAATAACCGTGTTTATAAAAAGGCCCATAAGGCTTCATGCTTTCTGGGCCAGACCTATGCTCTCTTTTTCCTCCTTCTCTTCGCGGTTTTGGGTGCTAACTTACGCCGGAGGTAATATCGTGCACGCGAAGAAGAAGGGCGTATAATAATAAAGAAGCAGGAGAAAAACAAAAGAGAAGTTAAATCAGGATAGGCGTATTTTAGCCGTCCGCCATTTTCATCGCTCTCGTTCTTCTCAGCTCATTACTACAACCACGGTCTCTTCTCTGCTTCATTTGATCTGGTACGCATTCGTCTGTGATCATATCCATTCGTCGTTGATTTCTTAGGTTATGCGTTTTTTGATCTCCTTTCGTCTTAGATGAAACAAAGCTAATTTGGTTTGATCTCTGAGTTTTCCCATTTAGATTCGATGGCTGCTCCACCTGCTAGGGCTAGAGCCGATTACGATTACCTCATTAAGCTTCTTCTCATCGGTGATAGCGGTACGTTGTCCCTCACCCGTTTCCTCTTGCTTGTTTTTTTTTTTTTGTTTCTCGGGATCCAAGCGATACAATCGATAAATTTGAATTCACTAGATTTATTTGATTTCAATTACTCTGTCTAAACCGATCTAATCACTGGGATACATTCCGAAATCTTCCAGATTGTTGAGTGGCAAATTTGATTCCTTGCTCGATCCCTCTTCTGTGTTTGATTTGAAGATCATTACGAGTTTGAATTGTTTCTTCATGTGTTTTAGATCTCTGACAGTTAAGGATTCACACAATTTTTGTTGCAGGTGTGGGTAAGAGTTGTTTGCTTTTAAGGTTCTCTGATGGCTCCTTTACCACTAGCTTCATCACCACTATTGGGTTTGTATTTTCTTCAACCATGTTAAGAGATTGGAGACTGTGATGCATGTTTCTCTCTTTTGCTATATGCCTCACTGAGTCTATTCTCTTTTGGCTTTTGATGCAGCATTGATTTTAAGATAAGAACTATTGAGCTTGATGGCAAACGCATCAAACTCCAGATTTGGGATACGGCTGGTCAAGAACGTTTTCGGACCATCACCACTGGTTAGTGACAACCTTCTTGCTCTAATAGTGTCTTTAGCATACATTGTCCCACTGGAAACTGGAGCGAAAGGTCTTCGAGAACGTTAGTGACTGATCAAATATGTTGATGGGTAGCTTTAAGAGTAAACTATTGTGATGCTCTGATCTCTTGTGAAAGGGCTGAGGGATAAACTTATAGATATTCTCCATAAATTTGTTTGGGCATTGTACTTCACATAATTGCTGATGTTTTTGGAATATGTAGTTGATTAAGCTTCTTTAAATGCAGTAGTAGTTTAAAGATTTTATGTTCACCTCTTTCTTCCGTTTGACATGTTTGCAGCTTATTACCGCGGAGCAATGGGCATTTTGCTGGTGTATGATGTCACAGACGAGTCGTCCTTCAACAGTAAATTTTCGTCTGTCTCATATGAATGAAATCCACCTAAATTGTCAAATCTTTCTATACATTAAATCTTTGGTTTCACGCTTCCGCTTTGATCTGGACCTACTCTATTGACCTTATTTTGCAGACATTAGAAACTGGATTCGTAATATCGAACAGCATGCTTCAGATAATGTCAACAAAATCTTGGTAGGGAACAAAGCCGACATGGACGAGAGCAAGAGGGTACAATACGAGCTACTTCATTCACACCGACATTACCAGACTTCATGATTCACAGCTAATATCGTTTGTGGTCCAACACATTTTTTTTTTCAGGCTGTGCCAAGATCAAGGGGTCAAGCACTTGCTGATGAATATGGAATCAAGTTCTTCGAAACAGTAAGTCAAACATCCTCTCAAAACTTTGGTCTCATGAGAACAATTTAACCTACATTTGTCGTTTACATTGCTTACATAGTTATGCCATTTTACATCTCAGAGTGCCAAAACAAATCTAAATGTGGAAGAAGTTTTCTTCTCGATAGCAAAGGACATTAAGCAGAGACTCGCAGATACTGACGCGAGAGCAGAGGTTATTAATTACTAGTTACATTCTTGAGCATTTCCTTAACTTCACAATTCTTTGTGCAAAATAGTTAAAAACGAAGTTTTTGTGTCACAATTGCATCGTTCATTGCAGCCTGCAACGATCAGGATCAGCCAAACAGACCAGGCGGCTGGAGCCGGACAGGCGACGCAGAAATCTGCATGCTGTGGAACTTAAGAAAAGCCCAAAAGTTCTGAAGTAGAACTGAAGCGAGAAAAACAGATTTGTCTTGGTTGCTTTTGTAATTTTTTTTCTTTTGATGATTTGTTCTTAATTGGCAATTTTAGTTTGTTCATGAGGGTAATAGAATCTTGAAGAAACCGTTCGTTCTCTGATAGAATCAATATCCCTGAAGCTGACTCTGAGGATAAATTGTTAAACATTTGCTCATAACTCCAATTCTATTCTTATCGTTGGCTTTCTCTGTTACATCATCACTTCTTTCATCTTTTCCTGTTTAGCACAATTACTAAAGGTTCTCTATATACACAGTTAAGCAAAAAAAAAAGATAAGTTTTTACACTAAGATCCAGCAAAATGTTGCAATCTTACAATTTTCAACAGAATATAATATTATACATTCAAAAGGAACGCTCTTCTTTGCCATAGATACGCTGAAGTTCCCGAGTCGCTGCTTGAAATGATTCTGAACGAAAACGAAAACGAAAACAGGACATTAGAAACTCGGAAGAAAATGCAAATCCATGACGAAGAAGAAGAAGAAGATTGAACCTTTCCAAATGCGAAATGCTTTCTGGTTGATAGGAGAACCAAACACAGTCTGAATCACATCAAACAACATAGTTTCTGGAGTGTTCCTAAGTTCCTGAACTATCTGATAAATCGTCTTCCCGTTTTCAAAGTAAATATGATTGTTTGGATGCTTCGTTTTACATCCGGCGTGTCTCTCAAATGCATACGCGTTAAGCACCTTGAAACGTTTAGAGTCGAACCAAATTATTAATCAGCCAGCATTTCCTCAAAAATACAGAACTTTTCTATTGACTCACCTTTGTGAAATCGCAAGCTTGACATCCACAGAGATATCCCGATCCTTTGATGACTCCTCGAAGCTCCTGATTTCAGATGTTTTCCGATGTAATCACAAATTTCAAGACTTTAGGAAAATGGTAAGCTTAAAATAAGTTGAGCTGAGCACTTAGGCTTTTACCTCACGCGAGAGAGAAACATATTTCACAGGAACGCCATCGAGCATACCAGTTGATATCAAGCTTCTGACGTTTGAAGGAAAGCTTGTGGAAGCTTCCTTCTTTGAAGTCTTGGTCTCTCCTTTGTTCTTTGGAAGAGATTCCAAGCTCGGTTTAGCCGCTAGTTGTTCACCTAAAGCTCCGCTGCTGGCCTGTGCGGTTTCTTGGCCATAAACCATATCAGATGTTCCAATAGGGTCTTGGACATAAGACTGATAGTTTCCAACAACATTGGAAGTAGAGCCAACACCATGTTCGTCGTTAATTTCACCAAACGTGATTCCATGAGAATCTTCATTGCCATAAGGATGACCCACCAGTGCAAAATTCACAAAACTAGTCCCCTCATTATCCCTACCACAAGCTTGGATCGAAGATGAATCGATTTTCCTATGACTATGACCGTCTAAACCACCATGTGTACTCATTGTTTCCTTAACCCTACTAACTTGAAGTTTTCTAATTCCATCACCACCACCAAAACAACTTCCAGCAACCTCAACGCCATTAGATATCGACAGTTCAACAGATCTGTCTTCCAAGTAACTCCCTCCTATGCTCTTAGGTTGGTGATGACTACCAACTTCTGTTCTGTCTCTATCACCAAACAAAAGGGGTCTTGGCATTTCTGTCCCTAGAAGCCTATCCATGAACTGGTTCGAGACGGATTGAAAAACCGATGAGCTTTCCCACAAAGGAAGACCTACATTCGATTTCCCTAACCCTACTGGATCTTGCACTGCTTGCTTCTTGTTTGGGAACATCTCTGAGCGGGAAGAGTCCACAAACCAAGGATGAGGACGCTTTGCATCGTCTCTTGTTGAGTGATCATAAACTGAGTCTTCCTCGCTTGTATGCTCATTGTTCTTCAGAACCCAGAAACCTTTGCTTTCATAAGACTGAAAACAACACAATCAGAAGAGATTGCGATTTAAAACCCAGGAAAAGAAAAAGGAATCTCAAGAAACATTAACCCTAATGCAAAGTTCGGAGGCGCACCATTGTTTTGCCCTTTTCTGCTTTCGGATTTGAGCGAAACGTTGATTCAATCTCTCAAGCTTCCCTCTTTAATTGCGTCGACCAAGAGCAAGTGCGAGTTCTATCTTCCCCAGAAACGAGTTTCACAAAAATCAATCCTTTAAAACGAATTCGAAGCAGAAAAGAAAAAGTTTGTTTTTTTATACAGAAATAGAAGACCGAAAGCTATAAATCTATAAGAAATTGAAACCTAATTTGGTCAGTCGAGAGTGTTGAGATTCTGAAAGCGAGAGAAAGATTGAACGAAAAAAAAAGCGCCCTAGAGGTGACGTCGGAATGGCTGAAAATCGGAGAAATCAAAAGTCTAGTTACCTGAGTTGATCGCCGGAAACAAGATCGCCGGTTAGGAAGAGCGTAATTTCGCCGGCGAAGAAAGAAATCGATGATACGGTGGGCGAGAAGCACCCGATTTTTGCTTCAGCTTTTCTTGTTTTTTTCTTTCTAATGCATAAAAGCAAAAATCGCATGATCTGATGTTATGGTTACCACGAAGCTTATCTTACGCGTATTAAGTGACGGCTAATCTTGACCGTTCATCTCTCAAAACTTGTCGACCCAAACTTCATTTTAATTTTAATTTTTTTTAGTGCTTTCTATTTGATATCAGAAATAGATGGAGCCCTTGACGCTCAACTCTTGCAATGTGATTGATCCACTCTCTCTCTGTACTCTGTAGCCTTAAGAGTTTGTTTTTTTTTTTTTTACTAATAATAAATAAAGTTTTGATGGATTGAATGAGCTAAACCCAAATTACTAGCTATAGAACCAAAACTCCCATAGTTCTTAGTTCGTATTTCTTACTGAAAGTGCGTCTCAGCATCACAAGTTTCATTTGATGATTTTGATGATTTTAATTGACTCAATTAAACAAATCTCAACATGTCCCTCAATTTCTCTATTCGGATTTGCTGCAATCAATCATCTCATGTCTTCATCTCCATCTTCGTTTTGTAATCTGAATGTGCCCTCACTTAAAACAAAAACAAATGTCCTTGTTATAAACTTTCAACTATTACTTTGTGGGGGGGGGGGGGGGAATGGAATTTATACACTTTTAAAAAAATGCATTTTATACATATTGGGATGAAGCAACATGCATAAACTGTATTATGTATATGTTTTCTTTAGTTAGCACCAAGTGCTGGAGTTTCGCAAACCCACTTTAAAGTAATTCATTTGCCTGAATTTCGTGACCGAGAAGTTCGAATGGATTGTTCGCACAACGTTGAGGATACGATTCTAAAGAATTGTCGAACAACAAAATGCTATAAAATTTTCAACAAACTTTACTGTATTTTCTTCATCCACGGAAATGTAATGAAAAGTTCATTTGTGAATTGTGATCCATTAATAATTAGAAGCATGTTATATATATATATTCTTTTGTTTTGTCGTAAGTAATGGTTCAGATTGAGCTACTGTCTATAATTCGAGTTGTTTTAAGTTATTTGTGGTGGGGGGAAAATAGCAACATAATAGGATTATTTGATAAGTAATCAAAATTAAATAGTAGTATGATATATTTTAAGATGACCCAAAGTAAAAATTAAAACATAAAAGCTGAAAGATAATCATATGACAAATCTCAAATGCCAAGTAAAATATATTTCTACAGAAAGAAAAGATTACACCTATGAAAGTTTCCTAAATCTGCAGATATATATGTATAATCTAAAAATATGAAGAAAAATTCAAAGAATGAGAGTAACAAATATATCCAGAAAATAAAGAGAGTTTAAAAAAAAAAAATCAACAAACAGTTCTTCCAAGCTCCAGCTTGAGGTTCAAATTCTCAACCATCCCCAAACTCAGATCCAGACAAGCCACCCTCTTCCCACTGCTGGATTTCTTCAACGTCGTCACCGTCGGCTCAGGCAACAACGCGCGTGTAACCAACGCGCCACCGCCGCCGCCACTCTCGTTCCTGTGTCTCCTCATGTGTCCTCCAAGAGCCTGTCCCATGGGGAACTCCACTCCGCATATCGGACAAGGATGCGAAGAAGACGCTTTAGCCTTCTTAATCAGTCCAGACAGACTCTCGTTGTTAGGCTTCTTGTGGCTCGCACGGTGACCTCCTAACGCTTGAAACGAATGAAACTCCTTTAAACACGTTTTACATGTGAAAACGCGTTTTTGATCTCCACCGTCGACGTTTTCTTGTCCGACTCTTGATAAAAGCATCAAACAATTCGCCGCCGTTGTCTCCACCGTCGACTTTATCTCCGATATTGCTACCATTTTCTTGATTTTTGGTGTTTGTGTTGTGTGTATTTTTGTTCGTGGTTTGGTTTGATGATTGTTGATGTTGTTGTTGTGATGTGTTTGTGTCAGTTTGGGATGTATTTATAGATATCGAGTTGTGTGGACTGAAGACGTGTGAGAGAATGACGAAAGTAGCCTTGTGACTTGGTGGGTAAGGAAGTGGCAGCGAAGGAGTGTGGTATTATGGTAATTACGTGGAAGGGACAAGGGTAAAGAATAAAGGTGCAGGTTATGTGGTCACGATTTGCGACACCGCGTAGCTTAGATATGACTAATACAAAACTGAAAGAGTCGTTTGGATGAGAATCTTCCTCGTGCTTTCTCGAAACCATTTCTTTTCATTATTATTTTTAGATATTTTCTTCTTTATCTCTTAACTAAAAACTCTTTTCAGTTTGTGTTGTTGATCTGTTATCTTACTTTCACTACTCTTGGCGCGTGAGTTTCTTAGCCGTCTTCTAGATTATTTGTAAAATCAACGCCTTCTAGATATACATTTATACTTATAGAAAAAGTGTTGTACTTTACAAAAAAATAACATAACATGATATGCTTCTTATTTAAAATTTATGTTAGATGGATACATCTATTTTAAAAATATAAATACAATTAAAAATGACGTCAAGAAAAAATACAACTATAAACAGAGAAAAGATTAGTAACTACGATATTATTCGGTTTAGTTTAGTTTGATTACATTAAATTGGTTGTTTTGTTTTGTTTTTATGAGTTTTAAAACAAACCAGTTATTTGGCTTGGTTTTAATTTAAATATTTTGGTTTGCTTTCAGTTCAGTTTTGTATAGAAAGTACTTTCAGATGTACTGTATTATGTAAATTGGAATATCTGTTAGAATAAAACGAGCTCGTGTTTTTTCTGAGAGAAAACAATTGTTTTAGAATGTTCTTTCGAAACTAACGTCAGCAATGAGAGCATTTTACAATCACAGCGAAGGCATGACAAAATTTAAGGCGTGAAAAGTACGCGTTGAAAGATCGCGTGTAGAGTAAGTGAGAGTAAAACTATTAACAATTTTGAGGATATGTACGGAAAACTTGATGGAAACGTGAGAAGCAAGTAGAAGAAATAAGAAATAAGAAATAAGAAATAAGAAGAGCAAACAAACCAAAATAGAAAGAGAGAGTGACGTGGTTCTTCTAGTTCCTTTTCCACGCGGTCCAATCTTCGTTATATGATAAACAACTCTTCATAATATACCCTTAAGATTCTTGTTTTCACACTCCCTCTCCTAACTTGTCCATTTACTGGTAGTTTCATAACCAGTCGATATAGATCAGGTCAATATTAAAAGTCTATTTAAGTAATCACTTATATGATTGGACAAGTAATCAAGTATATATGATTTTTGGTTGGTTTACAGGATTACCAACCAACGTATAAATATATGACCGACTTGCTTTGTTTGACTGACTCTATCTATTCCCGTTGTGCTTTGTACGCCAATTAAATATATATTATCATATGTATCCATTCATACAGTCATACTTCTAGAGTATATGACCAATCAAAAGACATTTATCCCTTTTTGAAAAAAAATAAAGATTTGTTTTTTTTTAAAAGAATTTTGACGCATTTCGCCTCTGGGATAATCGACAGTTGATTGATTTTTGCATTGGAATGAATACAAATTTTAATTACCTGACAGTCGCCATTAAAAAACAAAAATTACCTGACATAAATTTAATTAAGAAATTATTTTAACCGGCTTAGAAAGGTACGTATCGAACCGGTACAAGTCCCTGACCGATATAGCCACGTATGTATTTATCCGTCCTATCCTCTTGTTGCCATGATTTTCTTATAAAGAAATGTCGATCGATTTGAATGATATGGTTTCAGATTCTTCGTATCATCGTCGTTACGAAAGAGTTGTATGATTCTTTTTTTTTTTTTAATTAAAAACAGTAATATTCATTTCTTGTGTATTATATTTTTGGTAACAAAGATTGTGAAGAAAATCTTTGGCGAACGTAATTCCAAGAAATGAGGAGATAAAAATGGAAAGAATATAAGGAAGATCCTCCTCCTTTATTTCTGTTTGACTTACATGTACAACTACACAGTTGAAAAGGAGAGAGAAGAGTTAAGCTAAAATCACTCAACTGATCACTTTGATCGTAAGTTGTTATTGTGCGTGATTCTATCCATCTACCAAATATAGACAGAGAGAAAGAGAGAAATATGGAAAAGTTTTTGTATATGAGAGTGTGATGAGAAGAAATGTGAGTTACATTTAGCCATAATACAGAATGTGCCTCCAAAGTTTATCTCTTCTTCTTCTCATCTTCACTCTCTTCTTCTCTCCTGCCTTTGCTCATAAAAAGGTCCTCTCCATCTCTTTCTCTTTCTCTCTCTCTCTACTTATATTGCTTTTACGATATGCACTTATGCTATTTTATTTATTTATTGTCTGAGCAGTCCTATATAGTGTACTTGGGTTCTCACGCTCATCCTCCTCACCTCTCTTCTGCACATCTCAATGGTGTAGCTCACGCACATCGCACTTTTCTTGCCTCTTTCTTGGGGAGGTATCATTTCTCCAATTTATCTCTTGCGCGACAAGACTAGAACCAATGTGTTTTTTATAATTAATATCAGACCGAACGCCAAATCGAAAACTTTGTTGGGTCATCGGTTCAATCCAGCCTGACGCTGGTTTATAAGTTGTAAATTTCATACATTATCCCCGCAAAACAAATGTCTGGTTTATAAGTTGGCATGTTAAAAATAAGGCATATCTTAGGACAATTATGAAATCCCTAGATATTTTAATCGAAAATTAACATCAAAATACAACAAATTCTCAAAATTGTTAGCTAGCATTTTTTTTTTTCAAAATTATTTGGTTTGAGCTATTATGAAGTATGACATCTCTCTCTCTCTTTTTTTTTTTTTTGTGTGTGTAAATACGAGTAAGTTAACTAAAACAATCAAACTGAGTTTAGTGAAACTATAACATGAAAACCAAACACAAATAACATGTTGAATTGTAAATATTCAAACATTGATTCGCAAACCATTGTATCATGGGTTTTATTTTTCCATGTTATTCTAAGTTAAAGTAGGTCAGTGAATTTACGTTTTAAAACACTGCAAGAAACTAACAACCTTCCCAATATTGCAGCCATAAAAGAGCGAACGATGCCATATTTTATTCATTCAAGAGACATATCAATGGCTTTGCCGCTGTTCTTCACGAAAATGAAGCTGCGGAAATAGCAAGTGAGATCATCAATCCCTCTAATTCGCAATTTTCTCCTCAATCCCTCTAACTGGTTCACCAAACGAATTTTTTAAAAATAATCATTGATAAATGCAGAGCATCCTGATGTAGTCTCCGTATTTTTAAACAAAGGAAGAAAACTGCATACCACTCATTCATGGAATTTCATGCTCCTTGAGAAAAACGGCGTCGTTCACAAGTCTTCTCTATGGCATAAAGCAGGATTCGGAGAGGACACAATCATCGCGAATCTTGACACAGGTAATTCCCAAACAAAGGGTGTGCTTTGCTCATCATAGATATACACAAGTCGTTACTCGTTAGGGGTCGATCCATTACGTTCATGCTTCATTTGGTATATTCATCAAGGCCGTTGTAAGCTCTACACAAATTATTACTAAACGTATGGTATATATTTATTTTCTTGTTTTTCTAAATAGGGTCACCAATTTTGGATTGAGATCTTTGTTAGAGTGTTCTACTTACCACATCATAAAAGATGGTCATGAACATATTTCTATGTTTACCTTTTTAATATTTTGAAGATCTAATATATGTGTATTGGTGAAGGTGTGTGGCCGGAGTCAAAAAGCTTCACCGATGAAGGGTATGGAAGTGTTCCGGCTAGGTGGAAAGGTAGTTGCCACAAGGATGTTTCTTGCAACAGGTTCGAACCTTAAATAATCTCAATTCTTTCTTTAGCTATAATTGATTAATTATGTCTCTTTACGAAAATTGATTATTTGTTCATCACATGTATATAACCAGGAAACTCATTGGAGCTAAATACTTCAACAAAGGTTACTTAGCCTACACAGGCTTTCCCTCCAACGCCTCCTTCGAAACCCCTCGTGACCACGATGGTCACGGTAGCCACACTCTTTCCACAGCGGCCGGAAACTTTGTTCCCGGAGCCAATGTGTTTGGCCTCGGAAACGGGACAGCCAGTGGCGGTTCTCCTAACGCAAGAACCGCAGCTTACAAAGTGTGTTGGCCGCCTGCGAATGGCGCAGAGTGCTTTGATGCTGATATGTTGGCAGCGTTTGATGAAGCCATCGGAGACGGTGTTGATGTTATCTCGGTTTCAGTGGGCGGAGATGCCGGAGATTACATGAACGATGGCATAGCCATTGGATCTTTCCACGCCGTCAAAAACGGTGTGACGGTTGTGTGTTCCGCTGGTAATTCGGGTCCTAAACCTGGATCTGTCTCAAACGTAGCACCATGGATTATAACAGTCGGAGCTAGCTCCATGGATCGGGAGTTTCAAGCCTTTGTTGAGCTCAAGAACGGGCAACGCTTCAAGGTTTTGATCTTTACCTTTTTCACTTTATTATTCGTTTCTTTGATTCTTTCTTGCGTTACAAGTAATTGATTTTGGAACGCAGGGAACGAGCCTCTCGAAGCCTTTACCCGAAGAGAAGATGTATGACCTGATCAATGCAGGAGACGCTAAAGCAGCCAATGCGTCCACGAAAGAAGCGTAAGTACAAGCTAGCTATATCCATTTTTGGGGATGTGTAATGTTTTGAGAGTACTAACTAGTGTTTGGATATACATAGATTGCTATGCAAGAAAGATAGCCTAGATCCGGAGAAGGTGAAAGGGAAGATTGTGGTGTGTCTAAGAGGAGACAACGCACGTGTAGACAAAGGACAGCAAGCAGCCACTGCAGGAGCTGTAGGAATGATACTATGCAACGACAAGGCGAGCGGAAACGAGATTCTTTCAGACGCTCACGTACTTCCTGCTTCTCAGATTGATTACGAAGATGGTGAAGCTGTGTTTTCCTACCTAAACTCCACGAAAGAGCCCAAGGGTTACATAAGTCCACCTGCTAGTAAGCTGAACACAAAGCCTGCTCCTTTCATGGCCTCATTCTCTTCCAGAGGTCCCAACACCGTCACACCGGGAATCCTCAAGCCTGACATAACAGCGCCTGGTGTTAACGTCATAGCCGCCTTCACGGAAGCCACGAGCCCTACGGATTTAGATTCTGACAATCGTAGAACTCCTTACAACACCGAATCAGGGACTTCCATGTCTTGTCCTCACATCTCTGGCATCGTTGGTCTTTTGAAAACTCTTCACCCTCAATGGAGCCCTGCTGCAATCCGCTCTGCCATCATGACTAGTTCAAGAACAAGAGACAACAGGAGAAAACCTATGGTCGATCAATCTTTCAACAAATCAACTCCCTTTAGCTACGGTTCAGGCCATGTCCAACCCAATAAAGCTTCCCACCCTGGCCTTGTCTATGATCTAACCACTGGAGACTACTTGGACTTCCTCTGCGCCATTGGCTACAACAACACCATAGTTCAACTCTTTGCCGAAGACCGACACTACATTTGCCGCCAGGGAGCCAATCTTTTAGACTTCAACTACCCTTCAATCACTGTACCTAACCTCACGGACTCCGTCACCGTCACTCGCAAACTCAAGAACGTAGGACCGCCTTCAACCTATAATGCGCATTTCCGAGAGCCTCTTGGAGTAAGCGTCTCCGTTGAGCCCAAACAGCTCAAGTTCAACGAGATTGGGGAGGTGAAGATGTTTCAGATGACTCTCCGTCCCAAGTCATCGAAGTCTTTAGGCTACGTGTTTGGAGAGCTTAAGTGGACTGATTCCAAACATTACGTTAGGAGTCCTATTGTCGTTAAACTTTGAACCTAGCCTCTAAGCACTTATAATGTCTTTTATTAATCAATTCTGCTTCATATTTTCCTCTTTAATTATATTCCTTTTAGTTTTGGTAATATTTCAATGTTAACTAAGCTAGCTCATTAACAAAGAAAAAAATTGACATCATTTACTAAACTAAAAACATGCAATTTTTATTAGAGGCATTAATATACTTTTAGAGGGATACTAAATTACTAACATTAATGTAATTTCTCATAATCATTAAAGTTGAGTAAATTAATATTTTGCCAAGTGGAAGTGTGAGTGAGCGAGAACTGGATGGTGCTTCATGCGTGTCCAGTGAGAAGGGTAGTGCATAAAATGTGGTGGCTTTGGCTCTTGAAACCAAAATTGCTTGAAACCCATTCTCACTCGGGTTTTTGGGTTAAACCCGCCAACGAAAGAGATGCAGACGAGATCTTCATCCTCAGCCTCGGCGAGCCTAATCCCTTTTGACACGTTTCCGGCGGGCCACGGCCGCCTCAGCCGCGAAACTCAGCTGCAGATCGTGGACCCCACTTTGTCTCGCCGGAAACTTTTTCCGGGCTGGACCGTCGTGAATCGGCCGGGATCGTCGTCTCCTCGTAGTAGCAACGGCAGTGTCGATACGGTAAGCGCAAGTGACCAAAGTCGAGATTTTTCAGTTTTCGATTGTTCTTCAAGCAAATGTGAAACGAGTATTGTCACAAGGCGAACAAATTTCTGATTGTTATTGCACTGAAATTTCCTTAAGAATTAGAATTGATATGGAGGCGTGTGTTAGATTTGTCACGTTTTGTGTGCAATGGATATGTATGATTGGGATCAATTAGTGATTTTGTGTCACTAAGAGGGTCTTTGATTCATTTCTTTCTTTGGTACATGCATGAGTTGAAGGATAGATCTAAGGTTTATCTTCTGAAAAAATCTCATCTTTCCTTTTTTTTTCTTACTTCGTGGTAAAGTACTATATCGAGGCAGGGACTGGTAGAGAGTTTCCATCTCTAGAATCTGTTCAAAGACACTTGGCTGGATTAGTAGATGAAAGACGCTTGACTCGAACAGGATCCTTCTTGAATGAAAATTCAAGGATTTATGAAGGATCTAGAACCAAACAGGTCCCTTGATCTAGATTTGAAATTGCATAAGCATGTGGTTCTTGGATCAAAAACAAAAAAAACTTTAATCAGTTTGTTATGCTTCTGCAGAATCATCGCAGCGTAGAATATGCCTCCAAGGGTTTCCGTTTGCCTAGAGGATGGACTGTTGAGGAGGTTCCCAGGAAAAATGCCTACCATATTGATAAGGTACTTCTGTATTTCTTATGAGAGCTATATAGAGCATAAGTTGATTCGCATAAAAACAACCTAGTCCAGTTGTTGAGGCATTACACACAATAGAGCAGAATCTGATAAGGATATCTGAAAATTGTTTGGTGGTCTTAGTGTTGAGAGTTGAGCTTCTCTTGCTGATTAGACCAATGAATAATGAAGAGTTTGCTGATTTGGTGATTGTTCATTGCAGTATTATACTGAGCGAAAAACGGGGAAACGGTTCCGTTCCCTTGTTTCCGTTGAGAGATACTTACAAGAATCCAGGAACTGTACAGATCAGCAGCTTATGGTTTTACAAAGTCACCGTGGCTTGTCCAAAGGTTTCAGTTTACCTGAAGGATGGATCGTCGAGGAGAAACCACGGAGATATTCAAGCCATATAGACAGGGTACACATCTGTGACTTTGGTTAAGCTTGGTTTGTTTTGTTGTGTTCCCAATTGCTCCGGGTTTTCAAAGCTGGTACTACTGTTGTTTGCAGTCATACATTGAGCCAGTTACGGGGAAGAAATTCCGTTCACTGCCTGCTGTTGAGAGATACCTGAGAGCAGTTGGGAGCGGTAGAGTTGACTCGGCTTCTATGGTGGGTTCTTTGCTGCATTCCGAGATGCTTTTGGTAAGTTTATTAAGCTTTAACATCATTTAGAGGTACAGAAGATGAACCGGTTCTATACAAGGTTGTTTCTTTATGTACCATATTTTTTTCAGCTTTTGGCGAACCGGAATGGTACCGGATTTCAGACCGAGGTTCTTGACCCAAACCCACCAGGGAGAGTTAAGTGGATCTTTACCGGTCCAGGCGGAAACAAGTTTAGTGCGCATGTGAACGGTTCAGACGTTTCTGGTTCGGTCAAACAGACATGGTCTGAGGCTTTTGTTTCATTGATCCATGACCGATCTTAACCAAAAATCTGAATCCTAGGTTTGACCCTTTTGTGGCCGGTTTTTGCACTTTGATTTACCGTTAACAAAACTACTAGGTAGCCTCGCCAAGTTGTTCATACTTCGTCTAATTTTCAACTGACTCGAATAACCGGTTTTTGGTAGATTTGTCCTTTTCTGATCTCGGTAGTTCGTGTAGGTATGTTAGTGCTACATTAAATCGGATGTTTTTGTTGTTAGGTGTACTGGTTAAAAAGAAGTCAAATCTTTGAAATGTGTTTTTGAAAAATGATTTATGTGTTCTCCTTAAAAATATAATCGCCAAATATTAAAACTGGAGGTCACACGGATATTTCGTAGCCTGAATCTAATTATAAATAGAAAAATCAACTTTTTGGGTACGATTATGATCCCCACGTGCACACTTCATGTATCTAACGAACTGTAATATTGAAATTTACGGGATTGTTTCGAGTCTGGGAGTAGATCGTTATCACCAACAGTTAAAGCTAGTACCTCTGAAGTTAGAGGGGTTGTTTTGATTTTTTCTCTGACAATTTTATCGTATTCCATGGAGAATTAATTATCTTTCTTTAACCGGTTTATACAGTGAACTTGTTAAAAAATGAAAAATAAAAACTGTAATTTTAAAATATAAAAATAAGAAAATTGTGAAGTACAACGTGTACACGCAAAAACAGCTCTTTTTACCAAAATATGAATTCACTTCAGTGAAGTCAGTCACCTAGGCTACTGCAAGATCTGATGTATTTATATCATCTCTATCTATTGTTCTTGAAGGGATGCACAACCAAGAAGTCTGACTCTTTAATAGACTAGTTATGTCGGATTAATAAATTTTAAATTTGATCTAAACCTTTTTCTTTCTTTTTTTTGTCAATTCTACAATGACAAACAATGTATGCGTTGAAAATTATTTAGCAAAGATACATGTCTAGAATGGGTGTCTTAAGTTTTACGGATTTCTGATTCAAAATCGAGAAAAAGTAGATTGGTTCATATCCTACATATGGCAATATATAAATATTTGGTAACCGGATTATAATACCAGGTTCATAGGTTCTAATTCAAAAATCAATTATGAATTAGCTCATGTTTTTTTTTTTTAGCTCATGTTCCTAATGTATAACTCTATATTCCATCTTATTTTAGACGTGGGGATGTATAAACAAAAAAAAAGCTATTCACCCTAACTAATTATTTCTTGATGTCTGTTCATATATGATAATCATTAAGGTATTGATATATCAGGCTTTATTTCGTTATTTGATAAGATGGTTAAACAACTAAAAGCTTATCGGTTGAATCCGGTTCTCCTCATATCACTAGTGCCAATAACACTGGTTCTCCTTTATGGACAATCTTATGGCATTCAGGCTAATATAGCCAAGTGTGCCATTTTATTTGATGCTTCAAATTTATTCCAAAATGTATTAGCTGACTTTAAGCAAACAAACCATACATTCATACGAGGCTGAACGTGTTTAAAATAATAAAACTAGAAGTTTGAACAAAAATAAAAAGTACTAATGGATGTCCACTCTAATAAATGCTGTTGTGGGATTCTATAATGCATTTCTTCTTTGGCATAGAATTTTATGAAGTATATGAACGAAGACTTTGAATAGCAGTGCTATTTAACACTTCTAGAAATGGGTAAGTGGAAACTTCTATGTTTTCAAAGTCAAAAAGACATCATTGTTGGTTATTGAAATTTCTTTTAGTTTTGAGTTATTATAATATATAGTGTACGTGCTACAAATTGAAATTGGAGTTGACGCCAAAAGTTACAAATAGGCCAAAACTAAAGGGCATGTAGACTTTTTCTGAGTTAAAAATTTATAACCTCAAGGCACCACCCAAACATTGACTCTACGCTATTTATAATTTCAAGGACAAATATCACTTTACCACATTTCAATGGCATTTGTTTGGTAGTATAATATAATGTTTTCGATGTAATTTCCAGTAACAAATATTTACTATTTCTCTAAACTAATCACTCCAAACTAGGGTCAATTTGTAAAATACAGGAAAACTTAACAAACTTGACCCGGGTGGTTTCTTTCCTGCAAAATAAGCCATAGGATTATAATTATAGGAATATCTGCAACCTCAACTTTATAATTATAATCATGTTACTACTATTAGACATAGATATGCTATAAATAAAATGAAGCTTCCTATAATCATTCAGTATTACTTCAATGTGAATAGCGGTTATCAATGGAAACTAACTGAAAATTGCTAGTGAGATTCCCAATAACAATAAGTTAATATTAGGGTTATAAATAAAACGAGACTGAAATGAACCTCAAAAGACACCTAGGCTCAAACTACAACATTTTTATATACTCATCACGTTTTACGCTTTAACTTTTTAGCATGCATAGGATATTTTTAGCAATTACCTACACAATTCACAACGCTTACAACTCATCATTCCCCTATTCTTTGTTACTTAAAGCCAAAATAAGCTTGTTAGACTCCGTGGCGTTTACATCCATTTCCTCGAAAAATCGTGCCCTTTTGCTACTGCTGGCCACCATTGTTCCTTATAGCCACCGACTTTGGTTTTCTCGGTATGCACTTAGCTCGAACCGCCTCTTCCTCATCCTTCTCCATCGTTGGTCCCATTCTTGAACTCCTAATAAAATTATCAAATATTCAATTGTTATAAAGCTATATAACCTTCCAAAATATGTTACATAAAAAAAGTCTATTATGAAGAGACGTTTGAAAGACATACCAAAATGTACTCCTACACTTTATACCATTTTCAGCTATTCAATCAACTCACTCCATACCCAATTATTGGGTTTGTACGGGAAATAAAGTAAAACAAAACCAAACAGAACTACGTGCCGTTTCACATAAAGGTAAGCGAAGTGCATGACAGTTTCAAACACCATTAATTGTTTTTTACCTGTCAGCATTGTAAGATGAAGATCTTTTCAAAGCTGGAACTAGTTCCTTCTTGGTCTCAATCAAGCTGCCGCTAAAATACTCCTTATCTTCCAATTTTACCCTTCCAAAACTCTGCAACTCCTTCTCTGCCCTATCGAGGCTGTTATCAGCTGCTCCCCTCGTTACCGTACACCCGCTACGCCCAGTCAACGACAGCCCTTGATCTTTCAACAAAACGGGCCCACATTCTTTAAACGACATCGAACCGCACGATATCAGCTGCAATAACACAGCCGAAGCTCTCATTCTCCCGCTCGATAAGCTCTCGACCGTCCGATGATCGACACTAGTCTCGTTGGGACGCAGTATCAGCCGTCCATCTGCTTTAATCAGATTCTCTAACGTCTCAGGACTCGAATCCGACGGTGGAGGAGAAATCTCGTCTCTGCTCAGCTCAGTGCTCTGATTCTCGTACCTCGCCGGCCTTTTCACCTCCTCTATCTCCTCTTTCGCCGGTTTTCTCCGCCGACGTCGATCGTCCGTCTGCGTTGAGGCGTCTGCCGCGAGTCTTCGAGTCGACTCGGCGCTTGGCTCGGTTGCTTTGTACACCTTGTATTCGCTGAGATCGATAGAGCTCCACGATTGATTTCTCCGGCGATTCACCGCCCGGAGATCATCGCCGGAGTGTTTCTCTGGGTTTAGAGATCTCGGATCTCTAAACGAAGTCGTTTCGAGGAGGCTCCTAGAGTTTGAGATAAGACAAGAATCAAGAACCTCAGAGCCTTTGAGTACATACTCTTGACCTTGAACGGGGAAGATGAAATCGTCCTCCGATAAATCGTGCCAGACAAATCCATTTTTGTAGCTCCTGAAGAAAAACAATCAGAAGAGCGGACGGTTGAGATTTAAAGGAAGAGAGGATTTACGGATCCGACGGTGGAGGGGACGAGAATCGTTTTACCTTTTGGAGGACCAAGAGTAGAGATTTGCCATGCCTTTCCCTCTAAGATCATTCAAGCGGTTTATCACATCTGAGAAATTGGGAGAAAATAAAGTTGAATCTTTTTGAACTGCCGAGAAAATCCCAACAAAGTTGCAGATTTTTGAAGCTACATTTCGAAAATTTGCCGCCTTTTTCACTGTTATGCTCAGTTGTAATAAAGAGTAAAAAGCCAAAGAAAAAAGAGAGAACCTTTTGAATTCAAAAAGCAAACTTTCTTGATTATTTTTAAAAAGAATGGCTTTTTTCAGTTAAAGATCAAAAAATCAAAAGGGTTCAACCCCAAAATTTTAAAAAGTAAAGATTCATTACCTTTGAGATAGAGACCATCGTGGGAAGAGAGAGTGACTTCCATGAAATGAGGATGGTCAAGCTGACCATTCCGACAGAGGTAATAGACGACGGGGACTTTACGGTTACCGACCGGTTTATGACGAGGCTCTGACCAGATCCGGTTACGGTCCGGACTGGTGTCTTGTTGGTCTTTCGATCTCCTAGGGACCAAATAGTTGCTATCTGGTGTTGCTCTGAACGCTCTAGAACTCATCCTTTTTGTGTGTTTGTTTCTTTGCTTGTTGGAAGTGAAAGAAAGAAAATAGAACACGAAGAAGAACACGAGGAAGTTAATGAGAAGTGTGAGAGTTATGAGAAAGTGATGTTTGATGGAAAGACAAAATCTTTTGTTTATGAGTTTGGATTTTATAGAGCGTAAATAAAGAAGCGATAGTTTAGACTTTAGAGAGAGGAGAGAGAGAAGTTTTTTTTGAAAGTTGGGATGCGAGAGACAAAAGGCTACACAACAAATGAAACTTTGCTCTCTATCTCTCTCTCTTCTGCCTTTTCTGATATAACCATATCGGCTCTCTCTTACTTACGCCACTAGAAGAGCATTTTCTAAAAGTCAATATACTTTAAATTTCCTGTCATGTAATTTCAGCGGAGTATATTATTTTCAAATTTGAAAGTTAATTAGTAGAGGAAACTGATTCAAAAAAAAAAAAAAAATCTGTATACTTGTGTATATCAGTTGGAAATTTGTGTATATTCATCGTTTTATTTGGATCAAAAGATGTGTGTTAAATCCAGTATCTCGTTTATGTATTTGCATGATACTTAAGACAACAAAAGAAAAACTATATGTGAACAAACCAGACTAATTTGAATCTTTCATAGTACGCATAGGCGCATAGCTTATAGCTACATTACATGAAGTGAACTGATATAATAAGATTGTAGGATATATCGAGTCAAGCGGCGCTGTTTAGAGTGTTTTTTAAATGCAGTTATAAGAGTTTTAAAAATGCTAATGAAGTTGACTAAAGGAGACCACTTAGAGTCCTCTTCATACCTAACTTTGACTACAAATATGAAACCGATGATTTTAAAATGTGGTGTCCGTTTCAAAGACTTGGTTTCCGTGGGGTACCTGCCAGGTGTCACGCCATTGTAAGCTTTAAGCTGTGATAAGAAAATGAAAACGGAAGGTAAAAACACTACTAACATATTTTTGGGACAAAATTTAGAGACTGAAGGCAAAAACTTAAAGACCAGCGTTGTTATTAGTACTATTATTTTTGAATGATAAGATAACGTATGTTATGCTAGTTTGTTTGTTTATACACATTTTTTTACCAAAACATCTTATTTCAACTTGACCCCAAGAGCAACGACTACGTAACTTTAAAACGTTGTGGTCACACATTCACAATTGATATTAATGCAACATCATCCACGACCACGGCGAGTGATTGTTCTACCTACGTGCTACAGGTCACCACAATAAAATTATAATTTCAGGTTTTTGTTATTATTGTGCGGGCCACAACGAATTAAATCTATGACTTGTTGACCCAATTCATTTTGTTTTTTGAAATCCATTTTTCTTTTTGTTATTTGAAAATCATAGAATCTCTTTTCATTTAAATGATTATATACTCTAGTATATGTCTTAAGGAAAGGAGAAAAGGTTATACTTTGACTTTTGTTTTTCTTACATGACAGGAATTCACGGACAAATGGATCAAAGTGGTCCCTTGAAGAGATTTTGTGATGAACGGTTGAGATGGATTTAAGATGTTTCTTTCATCAGCTGTTGCATTATGTAAATTGTATTATACGGTCAGTCACTGGACATATATAGAGATACGCTCATAAAATCCAAATATCCTCTTCCACTCATCGAACCGCTTACCGCTCTCATACTCTGAGTCTCTGACCCAAGATTTATCAATACGCCGCTTGTTAATACTTTGTCAATTGTACATAAACATCTCACATTTGCTGTTTTTTTTTTTTCTTCATATCTTGTGTCTCCTATTTTTGGTGTTGTTGTTGTTGTCGTATATCCCTTCTTCGATGAATTTGGATTATAAGTACAGTTCTATGATTTCAAATGGTGATATGTTCGGTCAAAAAAATAACCTAAATAATGAATAGAGACACTGTTGCATCATCTGTGATCAAATCTACAAATTCAACAGTTTTTTTTTTCTGTCGGTTTTTGTTTTATGTTAGTTGTTTGTATTATTCCATTGTTTTTTTTTTTCGTTGATTTGCTTAATTAGGTAAGAACAAAATCAAACATTAATATTTAACTAATCTCAGAATTTGTATACATGTTGGATTTTCATTAATAAGAATAACACATTAAACTGTAACGAGGAGAATCAGACTATTGACCGGAATTCACGATGTTCTATGTGAGAGAGATTCCTCCAACTTAAACAATTCGTAGTGAATTCTTACGACATGCACATGTATAGCAGACATCATCGCATAAAATGCTGTTGTGTTACCTGTGTATAGTGTTTTTTTGTTCTTATAGATTCCAGTGTATAGTGAAATCAGTTAAAAGCAATAGGCATCGCTTAAGTAGATGACAGAATATCGAAGCTGATATAACATAGCAAACTAACAAAGTCCCATAATGGCCAACCAAAAATGAAATAAAAAACAAAATTGCGGTCGGTCGTCCAACTTAGCGGCCTAATATTCAAAGTCACCCATTCCATTTTATTTTCACGTGTGGACTCAAAAACAAACAGTATGTTCTTTTTTAAAAAAAAAAATTTACGAATAAGTTATCATCCACATTGATTGTTTTTTTGATACATCCAAGACATTCTTTTTTTTCTTCCATTTATTGTTGCTGCAGCCTAAATACGAGTTTATTGGAGATGGAGTATCAAGCAAGATATCAAGCTTTCTTCCAACCGAGAAGTTATTTACATTTGGAATTATATTTTGTAAACGTGATTATAATGGGTACGAAATATTTACCCTAGATTTATCCTTAAAAATCTGACCAATTGGACTATTCCATTTAGAAATAAAAACACGAAAACATGTGAATTTAAATTGAATATATTGAATTCGCAGTATTACAATAGAAAATTAACAGTAAGCAGGTAATGCAGATAGTTAAAAAGACCAGTAAAGCAGATAATGCAGATTTTTTTTAAAAAGTACAGTTAAAGTGTTGGATGATGAAATCACACATTCTTTATTACATCAAAAAGAAAAAAGAAGAAGCACTCGTGTGGATGTGTATAGATTTGTGTTCAGATAGGGATTTATTGAAATTGGTATGTGAGCGTGGAAAACATTGGAAAACCGAAAACATAATAATAAAATTGTAGCGATCTCTAGAGACACAGATGCATAGCTTTCGCACCAAGTCTGTGTCGCATAGCAACTGAGTTTGATGCATATCACATTATCACTATATCAGGCACATTTGATTTCGGATTCATTCAGCTTTACATTTTTATTTCCCCTCAAAAAAAAAAGAGAGACTTATATAATAATAATAAATATTACTTTCTGAAAATCTTTCAAAATTGTTTTTAAAAAATTTACTTAAAATGCAAGTGCAAAATTTGGATTATGAGTTATGGCTAAACAAAATAATGGGCTACTAAGCCCATAACAACCTTTTATCTCATGGGCTTGATAAGCATCGACGTGGCATGGGTAGTGTTTTATGGATACCTACATAGGATTTTTTTTAATATCCAACCATAACCCAGTTAATATAGTTCATTAGATTATAATATTAGATAGTAATTTAAATTGATATTTATATATAATTTTTTATCATTTATTTATATAATATTTTGCATCCTATAAAACAATTTTCTGGGTCCGCCGCTGATAGCAATTAAGGGTAAAAATGTGCAATAGTGATCTAACATTATGTCGGATGAAAATTAAACCCAAATGACTATACAAATGAGTGCCTACCACTAGCAGAAATGATTATCTATTTATCTATATAATAAAATAAAAAGGGCTTATCAATATGATAGACTTGATTATTCGTTTGATATACGACGTCTCAAATTATAAGTAACGATTAGAATAAGGCTGACGAATATATATATATATATATATATATATATATATATATATATATATATGCTAAGGCAGATATTCCAGACAACACACTTTTTATATATGTATTATCATTTTGTTCCCGATTTTATTTCGTCTTTGCTACATTCTGACTATGTAAGTTCTTTCGATTAATCTAATTCAAGAAGATAAAAAAAGGCTGATGAAAGCCTTATCTCTCTAGCCGATCAGGAAAGGTAGAGCTAGTGCTTAATTGGGCAACACTTTTTCTAAGAAATTATTGTTAATGTAAATAATTAATTTAAGAAAAAGAATAAATAAATATATTTGGATATTTTAATGAGCAAAGAACATTTATTTATGGCAAAGTGACGATGGCGTGAATCGTGATTCGGCTTAATTCCAAAGTAAGGAATCATCCAAGGTCGACTTAACGATGTGCAATTTCTCATGTTTTTTTTTGGTTAATTTTTTTCTCATTAATGTGTTTATTCTTGTGTAGGTTTCCAGAGACTCCCAATTAGCTCAATAGTGATAATAGAAAACTGGTTAATTTTTATTTAAGCACTGCAAATTCAACCCATCTGAACATTTCTAGACAGATAATTTTGTTACATAAGGACTAGACATCAGAGTCTCATAGATAGCGGTGGCAAGGTTTTAGGAATAAATAATCTTATCTCTTAAACAAACCAAAAAAACAAATGAATATTGTTATTTAATTTCCTAATACACTAGCATTATTTTATTGTTGAAGTAATATTATTCCCATTATCCCATATATGGATCATAAATCATGGCGTACGTAACTCTAAGAGAGAATATGCAGAGTCCTCGATGCTCTTAACAAAGGTTCGCGTCATCGGTAAACTGTAAAGAAGCCATGCTTATTCACATACGTAAAAAATAAAAATAAAGAAACTCTTTTTCAAATAAAGAAAGTGCGCCTAAATAATATTTTATGTACGAGTAAAACCAAAATAATAGATTAATTTAAGGTACGAGTCTCTCTGCTAGGGAAGGGGCTAACTAACCTGCGATCTGGTTCCGGCCCGATGAGGTCACCAGCCTTGCACTTGATTACAAAATAAAATAAGATAAATAAAAAATATGTATTTAATATTTCTATACACACATTGTCGTCAATTTGTTGAAACATGAATAGATGCTAGATGCATGCGCACGAGTGCATGGTGGGAAACGAGTAATCCGAGTGTTTGAATGGTTATGTGGATGTATGTTCTTTTTTACTCAAACCAGTGAGACAAACCAAATCATACGTTTTGGAAGAAATTTGTAGAGGAGAAACTGCGATCACTACGTTACTAGCTCCCAAAT